TAACAATAGTTTAAATCATCCTTGCATTTTTTGCATTTTGCACATGTTGTAAAAGCGAGCAGGTAAGTAACTTTACCTGTGGTTGCACTCTGTCGCTTTGTTAAAACTAACTAGTTTTACTCTGTGGTGAAATCTAAATTGCAAACTTTAACCTCAACTGTGAATTAAGTTTACAGGACTACTTCATGTACAAACTTAATATTGTGATGTGGTTTTCCTACAGGTGTTCAAACCAGCATGTGTGACTTTGTAGGCCTTGCATATCGAAACATAGAGCATAGAGTGCTCAGCATTAGATATTACATAAAATTCAAAGATGGGCTGAAATGTTTATGAGTTTTAAAGTTCTAGTTGATTTAACAATTAAATATTTGTGGGGGTTTTTGTGTGTCCAAGGTCAATGAAAAGTGCTGTCCTGTGGCTGTAAAATGTTAACAATAATCGTTTCCTTATTTAAATCCAAGATCCTAATTCCTGGCATTTTTGTCTGTTAGCTGGCAGGGGTGGGGTGGAGTGATTAAATGAAATAAAGAATGCATCTCTGGAGTTTAAAACCATCATCAACTACTTGAGGAATGAAAAAACAGATGCATCAAGTTGAGAATAATTAAGCTGCTCATCATCTCGCTCTTGGAAATAGCACATGAACTCTTAATGCGACCACAAGCCTGAACAACCTGTTATCAAGAAATGATTTGCATAATTTGTAGTGTGTGCTAAATCACCTGCTAAAATTTGTATTTTACTCATTCTATAATTTGTAGTCTTTCCGCTTGTTTTCTATTCTGTGTGGCTACTTGTCTTTTCCATTAGGTTGGCGGAGGACTGTACAATTTATGCTAATCAGCAATATTGTCTGATGTGTAGTTGAGAAAAGGTGCAATTGGAAAAACTAGTACTTAGGAAATATTGCCTCTTATCTTTGTGAGGTAACAGTGAAGGGAATTTCACTAATTTCCCATTCGTGTTACAGTCTTAACTAGAAGACGTGAAAAGCGCTATATCAAATGCAAGGATTATTATTATTATTATTGACACTTAAACTTACTTTGAAACTGCCTTTGAAACTGCTGAGAAATAGGATTTGGTCTCACAGCCGTAAAAAATATAACTCTTTTATAATAAGCTTAAGGAAGATAGTTGAATCAGGGATATCTTACAATTTCAGAAGCTGTAATGAATTAGAACTTGCTGTGATCTCTTGGCTCTTTTGCACATTAGTATCTACAGATGGTATAATATTCAGGATTTAGGATCCTTGCAGAGGAAAGACAGCTGCACACGCTTTTTGTATGTAATGCTAACATCGATGAGCTCTCAATGTTTATTTCAGTGGGAAATAAAACGCGTTGTTTTTAAAAGGTGTTGTAAAAATGTTTTAAAATAAGTGTGCATGTACTTCTTTCAACACGAGTGTTCCTGTTCAGTGTTTCCTGGGTAGTCTGAATGTTGATCAGTATTTCTTGTAATTGGTATATGTTTTAAATTGCTGAAATACTAAGCCTGGGATAAAATGCCTTAAAGATAAAGGAAACAAAGAAAAGCGTTTCTCATCGATAGTTTTAGCTATTATTAGAGGAATGACGTCCGAGTTTCCAATGAGTGATTCTGAAATGCCCAGAAGATGAGGACTGCCCACACAATAACAGCAGATTTATTTACTGGCTTTCCCTTTTGCCTGAAAAAATAATTAGCATTCACCGCACAGTTCCCCTTGACAGTTTTTACCCACCCCACACAAAATTTAGTGTTAAGTTAAAGTAGTGGAGTAAATTTTGTTTAAATTAATTTGTTGAAAATTAATTCACTTTATCTTTTATTCGATCAACTTTAATATTTACCTATAATGGGAACGGTATAGACTTTCAAGAGATCTTTGAGGTTAAAACATTTTGTATGAAAGCTCTGGCAATTGGAGACAAGAATCTAAAAAAAATCCTTTTTTTTCCCCAAAAAACTTACCTTTGGGGGAAGAAATATAAAGTAGTGTAGATTTCAGATAGTGATTACAGTATTCTCCTTGGCAGTCCATGTTGGCCCAAAAATCTTCTCTCTAATTGGATTGTTCCGTTCAAGCCAGTTTTGCCCACAAAATATACAGTCAATTCACTTCCTAGTATTATAATAATAATCCTTCCATTTGATATAGGACTTTTTCACGTCTTCTAGATGTCTCAAAGCGTTTCACAGAATAGACTGTAAAGTGAATTGACTGTATATTTTGTGGGCGACAAGCGGGAGCCAATTTTGCACAGTAGCGTCCCACAAACAGTCATGGAATGAAGTGACCAATTTATTACTGTTTGTTTCTTGAGGGATTATTATCAGGCGTGTGGAGTAAGCAAACTTGCCCAAGGTTTCACTCTGCCCGGAATCGAACCCAGGTCTCTCGCTTGCAAAGCGAGTGCTCTAACCAATGATCTACAGGACTCCACACAATATATTCTGTGAAGCGCTTTGAGATGTCTCAAAGACGTGATAAGGCGCTATTTTAAATGGAAGGATTATTATAAGAGCACAAATATTTATTTATTGTAAAACTGAGGTTATATGTTTTAACTTCATAAAGTAACTGGTGACCTGAAGATCTGACTGAGCAAGTGAGGTATGCACCATTGTTGATCTTCATATTTTGCGGCTATTGGAAAACTGATACTTAGGGGGTGTAACCACCTTAAAACTCTTGATTTCCAGCCAGGTAGTTAGTATGTTGAAGCAGCCAATTGTCATTGCTAACCTGCTGCCAGTGTGCAATGGCCAGGCAGGCTGCAAGTAAGAGTTGCTTTTTACTTTTCCAGTCCTATTGATTTTGTTCAACATGCCAACCTGGAAAAAATGTCTGAGTCAGTCCCGTCTTGAGCGCACAACTGCAATTTGCATTGATTGAGAGAGAGAGACGCCTTGAGGGAAGATGTTCAGAGCCATGCTGGGATTCAGAATAGCTTCTTATCTTCTTGCCGCTGACATAAGAAGCAATGGCACACGAACAGCATTATGTTTGCGTTCCACCCTAGCATGACTGCTCCAAATCTCCTGCTGTTCTCAATCTGAGCACAGCAGGAATACACACTTGTACCTCGGCTTATGACAATATCGCTCAGATCAGGAACTGAGTGTATGTATTTTCTCAGGTAATCGAATATTGTACCCCACTGCAAGCCCACTGAAGTCAGTTGTTTTGCTATATATTGTTATATATATATAGATATATATATTATATAGTTCCTTTGAGTTCAAGTAGTACTGTAACTTTGTGCATGAGGTGACCCTTACACTAATTGGCAGGAGTGTGAGAAATCTGAATACAGCCAGCAATTAATTTAAGTCTTACCGCAGTGATAAAAGAAGCTCAACCAGAAATAGCTGGTACAGATCTTGATGATAGGCTACCTCTACCCAACCCCACTTTTTTGCCTTGTGTATTGCTGCCTCACACTGATTGAATATGGCGAGCAGCATGTCAGCTTAACTTCCCAGGCAAATTCTACTCTATCTAAGATGTGCATGTGCCTCCCTTTTAACAAGAGCAGTAACGATCATGTATATAGCATCTTTCATGTAGAATGTGTCAAATCACCTTTGCATTTACTTGTTTGGAATGTAATTTATCAGTGACTCCTCCTTCTACATGTATTATGTGGAGTCCTGTAGCTTAGTGGTTAGAGCACTCGCCCTCGCAAGCGAGAGGACTTGGGTTCGATGCCCGGGCAGGGCGAAGCTTTAGGCAAGTTTCCTTACACCACACGCCTCTGTTTACCCAGCAGTAAGTAGGAACCTGGTTGTTAGTCGATTGGCGGATCGCTTTTCTGGGAGTAATAATCACTTCTTAAAAAAAAATTTGGTCACTTAATCCACATCTGTTTGTGGGATACTGCTGCGCATAATCCGAAACTTTTTGCATTTCACTTGATGTGATAAGGCGCTATATCAAATGCAAGGATTATTATACAGAATAGTTCAGATTGCAGTAGATTTCTAAGCAGTAGTATATTTTAAGATTCAGTTCTAAACTGCTTAAAATATGCGCTTGAGTTTGACCCCTGCAAGTGTTCATTATTGCTCTTTATTTTTTATTGTTTTTTTTAATTACTGCAAATATTCATCACTAGAAACTTTGCAACACTGCCAAGTGTCTGCTGTTTTCAGCTGTGTGTTTACCTTGTGATCATTAAGCCTGTAACCTTAGTTGTCAGAACAGAGATCTTGTAGATAGCTGTAGGGGAAAAATCTTTTGTGATGGAAAGGAAGATAACAAGTATTGTATAATTCTTCCTTGGGCATTTTGAAAAATATTCCATATTCTGTTTTATATTTGAGGAGAGAGGGGAATGTTTTAAAAATGAGCACTGGGTCTGTATGTCCGCTAGTGATCATAAGCTTGAGTTTGTACTCTAGAAAGAACAGAGAAAGTACCAGTGAGTCAGATCCTGCGCCATAAATGAATAACCCATTAATCTGGAAGGCTGTTGGCGAAGACACTGGCAGAAGCTCACTTTTTTGAGTAGTGAGTAAGGATTGTGAACATTCACCTGAACAAGGAGATGGGAAACTCAGTTTAACATCTTATCTGAAAGACAGCATTTCCAATATCTCAGTACAGTATTAGCCTAGACTCTGAGTTCAAGTTCTGGCTTAGGCCACAGCGCCAGTTTAAAACACAAAAGACCATTCGGTCCATCATGTAGGACTTGAACCTACATCCTTGTGACCCAGAAATGGCGTTGATGTTCGCCCATAAACATATAGTCAATTCACTTTACAGTATATTCTGTGAAGCGCTTTGGGACGTGTAGAAGACGTGAAAAGCGCTACATGAAATGCAAGGATTATTATTATGTGGTGGAGGGGATTCTCAGCCATTTCCAACTACACTTAACAATGCACAGTTTCATCTCAGTAATTGTACATTACAATTGCAGAAAAACTTCCAATATAGGTCGTACAATGACTCAAAATAGTTTTGAAATGCAATTTTTAGGTTTGTGATTTTTCGTCCACAGCAGTTGAAGTGAAGTCCTCCTTACCCGTGACGATGCAGACCGCTGCACCCGTCGACCTGCGCACAGACGGCAGAATTCCGATCAGCAACATGGACCCCGTTCTTCGTGAACAGCAGCTGCAGCACGAACTGCTGGTGCTCAAACAGCAGCAACAGATCCAGAAGCAGCTGTTATTTGCTGAGTTCCAAAAACAGCACGAGCACCTGACAAGGCAGCACGAGGTGCAGATTCAGGAACACCTCAAGGTAGTTCCCTTTCTCCTCCTGATTTAGCTCATCTGCAATGATGTATTCGGGCTAGAATAGCATCTCTCACTTCAGACTGATTTTCAGGGGGAAAAAAATATGTCATGCGCGCCTATTCCCACAGCTTTTGTACAGAAAATTATATATAGTAAACTCCTGAAAAATCTACTCTAAGGGTAAAGGTCTCAGTGACAGGTTATCCGAAGTGGCGAGTTAGGCATATGTATAAATACATAAATAAATGAGGCTAGGATACTGACAGCGTGGTGATGACTTGAGTAGCCGTGACTAGTTAAGCCAGGGTTGAGTTATCAGGAGTTTACTGTAAGTACCTGTGATCATCGTGCTCCAAAGTCATACACATTTGTTCTCGAGTTGTTCTATATTTGCGGATTCCCTTAATGTGGCTGCTCTACTGCAAAGCAGCTGATTCTGTTCGAACCACACTTATGAAATGATTCTGAAGTTTCACCTTTAGCGAATAAGTTTTTGTTGGTGTTTATTTGAACGTGTTTTTTTTGATAAACACAATTCATCTGCTGGTAAATGGGCCTCAGCAATCCAGGAAGCAGCTCCATCCAACAGAGGGGCACAGTGACACAATGGGGCTCCGGTTTGTGATGTTCGTAAAACTGATGGCTGTTATTAACTCTAGCTTGTGAATGTCGGGTATCAATATTGATCTACAGCCAAGTAGAGTCTGAAAAAGGTCAGCCAACAGCACATCTGCAGGAAATAGTCTGCTTGTTGGCATTTTTCTGTCAAATGTTGCTGCTGTGATGTTCGCAATTGCAAAGGTTGACTTCATGCACGTTTATTATCGTTGAGTTTCTTTCCTGTAACGATTATTGAATCTGCAACAGCACAAACATTCCTTGGCACCCAGCATGGCAGTCCAGCAGCCAAGTTCGTGAAGCACGCAAAACTCTGTAATGAAGCATAATTCCCCTTTAATCAAACCCAAATAAACTGATGGTAACATTTAGTCCCTAGGGAATGAAAGCTCATTTGTAATAGAAATACTGAATTGATGAAATGGTTTACGCCCCCTGTTTACCTGGCCATCTGTGCCATTTTTGCAAGCAACAACAGGAGATCCTGGCTGCGAAGCGCCAGCAAGAATTGGAACAGCAACGCAAGCTGGAACTGCAGCGACATGAAGAGCTGGAGAAACAGAAGCTGGAGCAACAGTTGCTTATGCTCCGCAATAAAGAGAAAGGCAAAGAAAGTAAGGAAACTTATGACTGGGTCTGTACTGAAGGGTTTATTCCCCACAAGCTGACAATACCAAGCAGTGACGAAAGTGGAGCTGTTACCTGGTGCACCGTACGAGCTCCCTTTCTGAGCTTGGCTTCCTTTGGAGCTTGGTATTCAAGTGCCCACTGATGTGGCAGTGAGGGAAACGCACACCCTTCTGGTGCAAGCTCGCTTGCAGTTTACCAGAGTCGGGGGAGATATTGTCCAACGTTTACATTCAAAGAGAATGTGCTTTATCTCATATTTTATGTCTCGTAAGTTTAACCATAGCATCTAATGCATTTGCAAATAACTTAAATAAATGTTAGAATTTTTTTTTCAGTTGGCAGCATTTTGGTTGTGATTTTTTTTTCTTTTTACTCCCAACATTTAATTTGCTCGGCGTGGTGAACCCACCACCTGCCAAAGCTGGTTTAAAAAATAGGCTTCTATCAGCACCGTTCTCCATTTAGCCACTAGGTGGTACATTGCAATAGTGATCTGAATAATTCCCCCACATTTCTTTCTTGCTGATATTATTGGATGTGAGACTTGTCATGGGAGAAAACCTGCATTAAAAAAAACCTTGAGTTCCAGTGAACTGGGACAATTGCACTAGAATAATAATATTCCACACAGCCCACTTAGTGGTGCAAGTAATATTTTGTCTGATTATGAAAAGTTAATAATAGCATGATCAAATAATGCAAAACAATGAATTAAATCTTGGTGATTACTTTCGTTTAACATACTGATGCTTCACCTTTTCTTAAAACAGCAAATGGTTCAGTTGCATTGCTGACTAAGAAATGTATGTCCATATAGATGCCAAGCGCAATCAACATTTTTTTTGTTGAATCAAGTAGTATCTCCATTATCAGAATGTAGTCAGAGTGAATTGGTGCCTGAATAAATATCCTCTTTGAATGATTTTTCCTACTAATAGGGTTCCTATTAATTGACATACACTGTATTACCAGAATAAATTCCACATGCTTTTAATTGAGGACATTCAAAGGAAACTAATATAGTAAGGATATCCAGTTTGTCTTTGTGCACTTGAGCTTACTAATTTATTTCCTCTTTGCATTTCTTTATTAATAAATCCATGTGAATCAGTCATGCAGTANTTTTTTTAAAAAAGCTGGTTTGATTTTGTTATGAAGTTTAATTCCAAATAATGAGAAAAGCCCTTATTGAAACTATTATGTAGTCCATATGGTTAACAACAACAAAATTACATTTGTAAAGCGTCTTTCACATTGGGAGGGAGTCCCAAGGCACTGATCAGTCGGGGATCAGCACCCAAGCGTGGGGTGGGAGGGGAGTGCAGGGTTGGGGTGAAGGAGGGCAGACGAGTACGAGGGCGGCTGAAGGCACGGTCAAAAAGAAGGGCTTGAGGCAGGGCTTGAAGGAGATGAGGGAGGGAGCAAGTCGAAGGGATTAAAGGGAACAAATAGATCAATAAATGGTTGAGGGCCATTTGAAATGTATGTTATTGAAATGTCATGTTAATGCTAATGAGCAACAAAACTAGCACTGGAATTTAGTTACACTCCCAAGAAATAATTGTAACTGTGTCAAGACAGTTTATTTGTTGGAGTAATTTGCATTCTCATATAAATTCCTTTTTTATCTTCAGGTGCAATAGCCAGTACAGAGGTCAAACTAAAACTTCAAGAGTTCTTGTTAAGTAAAACCGCAAAGGATTCTGCAACAAGTGGATTGAATCATTCCCTCCCCAGCCATCCCAAATGCTGGTACTGTATGTGCATATTGGTATTGTGCCTATGTACATAATGGATGGACTTATCAACATTTTAACCCTTAATACTCAGATTAAACAAGACATCTATGTCAACCCCACGATAAAACTAAGGAATAATGATGTATATTTTAACCTGTTACAATCTTGATTAGAAATGTAATCTCGAGCTGAGTAATAATATATACAGTTAATATAATTTACTTAAAACTGAACATTATGTTTTGGAGTTGTTCAGACGCATTTATTAAAATACATTGCTTAGTAAATGTATATGCTGATAGAAATGTTAGCAACAGAGTTGGAGAATTGCAAAAGCATTTAATTTAATACTCCAGTTAACAGTCCCTTTGGCTTTCTGAAGATCAAAATCAACTTTTATTTTTCTCAAGTATTGCTTTTGTGTGAATTAGCTTGTATATTCTATATTTACACATTTCGGAATAGGGAGGATTTATTGATATTAAAGATACTGAACTGTGTGAAAGGTTTGTGGTATTCTGTGTTGTATGTTTGAGACCTGGTACAGCAAGATTAATGTAGGACTTTTGCTTGTTCTAGGGGAGCTCACCATGCCTCACTCGACCAGAGTTCCCCACCCCAGAGCACGACACCTCCCACCTACAAAGTCGCTCTACTGGGATCCTACGATGGAAAAGACGATTTTCCACTTCGAAAAACTGGTGAGTACGGTGGCCTGTAATGCCATTTATTTTTAAGTACTTTATAAGACTTGGAAAGTGACAAAACACTTTAATAGCGCTCCAAGTTATTTCCAGTCATTGCAATTAAATACGTGGACTTAGAGACAGCCCCAATGAATTAAATAAAATGTGTACTTGGCATATAACATCCGCAGCACAAAAGAAGGCCATTTGTGCCTATACTCGTGCTAGCTCTCCATTTACTTATGTTGTGATGCTCCATTATGTGATTCTTAGCTGGGAACTATTACTCCCTTCAAGAAAATTATGGAATTATTCCAAAATAAGAGTATTTTAGTGGTTATGTTGGACCGGTTGAGAGGGTTAGTTTGGCTCTATTTTACATACTTGTATTTCAATGTCTGTCATATGAAGCGTGACAGACATTGAAATACACTGTAATCTTTGTTGCAGCTACAAATCTTATAAATTTAAACATTTGGATTATATGAATTGGTAAATGCAACACTTTCTTTAAAATCCAAAAATCGACCAAAATCAGTAATCCTCAGCCAAAGCAATGGAACAAATTCCTGTTCTTCAAATTAATTCATTGATTGTCAGTTACCGTCTGCACCTGATCTGCTCTCAAACAACTGATGTTGTACCGCTGAATGTAAACACAAGAGGAACATATTGGCTTTTTTAAGCACAGCATACAATCTAAATATTTGTATTCTCAGAAACCCAAATTGATCTTATGTCGGGGCCGATCAACTGAAAGAACATTTTGTGAGAGTGAATCGATGTTAATCACACTCTTACTTGTGCTGACAATTTACTGATTAAGCAGCAATTGTTTGTTAGCGGAAGGAATACTGGGCCTATTGTAATCTCCCATTGCTGCTGCTGGTACCAATTGCACTGGTGTTTTTGCTTAACCAATAATTTCTGAGAAGTTGTTTGATCAAAAGGGAGAAAGTTTACACAGTTCTCAAAATAAGTCTTGAGAAACCTCAATGACATTGACATCGAAGAGCGAAGCCTCCACAGTCACTGTTGCTCATGCTAATTTGGCTTTGATATTACATCAACATGAATAAAGCGGTAGCAGTAAAATAGCTCAAAGCGATGTTCAAAAGACTCCTGAAGTGTTTCTTTAAAAAACTGGTGTAAGTTGGGGTTGAGCAGTTGCATCTTGAAGCTATTAATTGGGACAGCATTGGACTATAATTTACCCTAAACGTATGCTTTGGAAGATCTTGTGGAGTCCTGTAGCTCAGTGGTTAGAGCACTCGCTTTGCAAGTGAGAGACCTGAGTTCAATTCCCGGCAGAGGGCGAAACCTTGGGCAAGTTTCCTTACTCCACACAGAGCCTAATAATAATCCCTCCAAAACCAAACAATAATAAATTGGTCATTTTCAATCTACGACTATTTGTGGGACATTGCTGTGCGCAATTGACTGCCGCGTTCGCCCACAAGTATACAGTCAATTCACTTTACAGTATATTCTGTGAAGGGCTTTGGGAAGTCTAGAAGACGTAAAAAGCGCTATATCAAATGCAAGGATTATTATTATTATTGTAATAATTTGGTAGCATTTCAATAAAGATTATTCAATAGATCCCTTTTCTCCCACTCCAGAGAGAGAAAAAATCCGTACCCTTGGTTACCCCCAATGACTGTTTCAAGATAATATTTTTTTTTAAAATTGCTCAAACCTAAATTTCTTCTTTTTAATCCTAAATACAGCTTCTGAGCCTAATTTAAAGGTACGTTCCGGTTAAAACAGAAAGTGGCTGAGAGGAGAAGCAGTCCATTATTGAGGCGGAAAGATGGCACAATAATTAGCACATTCAAGAAGAGAGCTATTGAAATCACAGGTAAGAGTGCAAATGTTCTGCCTCTTTCGCACAATCAAATACATAATGTATAGCGTACATTTCTGCATCAGTTAACAACCTGTGATTAAATAAATTTCAGCATCCTGGTAGCAATTTGTGGGCTCTTGTATGTTCGATTTGCTACTCACATGACTGATTCTAACATCTGGAGATCTATAAATTCTGAAGAGTGTCAGTTCTTCAAATTATATTGTGCAAAAGTGCTTTCAATATTATTAACTAACATCCACATGTGCAACACAGTGAAAAGCAAACTTAACCCATGCATCTATTTTGTAAGAGCAACTTTTAATCATGAGTCAAGATCCAGAGCAAACTTGGTTTTGGGATGTATTTCGACATATGGCACAGTAAAACTGCCTGATAATTTCACAGAGTACGCGTTGCTTGTACCTAGATATTAATGTGGCTAAGCCTTTAATCTTCCCATCATTTTAATTTTCATTCCATATTTAGATGTACATGTAAAACAGCCAGCAAATGCAATGAGCTCGTTTCGAATACAATTGATAATGAAGACATGTTTCGCCCACAAATATACGGTCAATTCACTTTACAACATATTCTGTGAAGCGCTTTGAGACGTCTAGAAGACATTAAAAGCGCTATATCAAATGAAGGATTATTATGTTGCCCAGTAAAAATGTGCACATAAAGTACGGTTATTAGCATGTTATGAAGAGCTTTCAGATAGATACTTCACAGAGCTGCAGGCTCTGAAAACTCAGCTGCTGTCACTGAGGAAAGTTTACCCTCTGGAAAGTGCAGTTTCACAAGTGATGTCCGGCTAATGAAGGTCCTTTATCCCATTTAATTCTTGTCTTGCAACTTTGCTTTTATAAAGCGGATTAAATCAATTTGTGCTTTTGACATCATCAAGTGACGTTTAACTACATTTGGTTACCAAAGTTGATCTAGTCCAAGAGATCATATTGAGATGATCACATCATTGTTTTGACTTTGAACCAGTGCCTACATTGACTTTTGGCAGCAGGCAGGTTGGTTTAATGGTCTGAATTATGGTTAACAGAGTTTGTTTAGATATGGAATACTCTGCTCCAGAAGGCCATAGAGATAGAATCAATATAGAGGATTGAAAGAGAAATAGACAGATGATTGAGTAGCAGAGGTATCAAGGAGTATTTCGAAACGATGGAGCATTGAGAATGAAAAGATCTGCCAAGATTAATAAACTGGTGGAACAGGTTTGATGGGTTGCATGACCTCCCTTTTTTTCCTATGTACTCCGCATGAAGGCCACTATATAAATGCAAGTTGTTATAACGATGTTGGCACTGTAAACACTGATGTGTAACTAAGGTATTTATCCAGTTGAACTATTTTGGAATGGGAGAGAGAGGTCCCCTACCTTGGGACTCATTTAGAATGATACAAATCCATAAAATGTAAAGAAATCCATAACATGGATTTATACCATTCTAAATGGTTAAGGCAACGGATCTCGTGTATCATTTGTGCCACTCCTTTTCATAATGTGGCAAAAGGTCCATCTAAAGAACTTCTAAATCATGACGATTTTGGTATGGTGGGGGAGAGGAATTCTCTTTGATTCTTGACTTCTAGAAGTTTGCTACAGTTTTTGCTTCCTTGGTGTAAATAAGTCTCTGATTTGATGTATTTTAGTTTCCTCAGTCTGCAACAGCGCACCTGGGTCAGGCCCCAGCTCTCCGAACAGCTCCAACAATATTCCTTCAGAGAATGGAACAACTGGTTCTGTACACAATATTCATGCTGAGGTAATATTTTGTGCCTATTATTATTACGTCTTAGAGAGCCATTATTTCTTACTGTGTCAAAACTAAGCTTTTTTTTATAGTCCAGGCTTTTCCAGAATGATTTATAGTAATGATTACAGCTGTAAAATCTACAGTCATTAAAATTCAGCATTGGCTTTGGTAAATATTCTTGAAATTAAGTTGCATTGTTAAATATACAGAAAAAGTTTTTAATTTTTTCTGCGCCCAAATATGATCTGATTTTACACAGCCAGATTATCCCCGGCTTTGTAAAATCAGTGGAAAAGTAGAAAATGTTCTAGAGTGTGTCACACAATTATTTTTGTGGTTTGTGAGTAATGGCTATATATTTTTTTGGTAATGTAACTCCATTGTCTGCCAGTCATGTGCGTTCGGGAATTTCTACAGTCTAACCAGCTAAAAACACTTAGCTTGCCAATTGCTGTGCACAATTGGCTGCTGCGTTTTGCCCACAAAATATAAAGTCACTACACTTCACAGTAAATCCTGTTGTTGCTGTAAATTCTAAGGGTTAAGGTTCACCTCCTCATTGCAAAAGCAAACCCGTTTTAAATTGATTTCAATTTCTGTTTCATAATCGGTCATTTCTACGCTTAGTAACTTATGCTTATAAAAAGAGAAATGTCATTTTTTTTTTGGCATGTTACCCATGTTGTGGTAAATAGCTACAGAGATAGCTTGCCTTGATCTTACTATCTTTACCTATTGCACTCAGTATCCAGCTATGTTGAGCTCAATTTTTTGGATCCCGGTATTGTGAAACCATTTAAAAATAATTTAACCTTGAAATTACTGTTCAGAACACACACTGAAAAATGAAGGAAACATTCTGAAATGTCGGACGTGTTGTCACACATCAAAACTAAGGATGACTCACTCCTGATTCCAAGAATTAACGATTTTGTGTCGCACGTTGTCATTATTAAGTGTTTATGGAGGCTTTTGCTGCAGGGAATTAAGTGCTGAATTCAATTATTTTTATATAGAAACTCTGTCAGAATCCTGTGTGAAGGTGGCTTTATTGGTTCCTGGAATGAAGACTGATTCATGCAAACAAATTCAATAAATGCCTTCCTGCTTAAAGTGTGTAAAGGCAGTAGGCTAAATGTTGGTTTCCTTTGCAGTTTTCTATACTTCGGCATCTTGACCTCAAACTAACCTTCATAAAGCATCAGTGGGAAACTAGTGCTGCAACTCAGAGCTCTGTACAATAGATTTTAAACTTAGATTTGCAGCACAAGTATCCAAACTTAGCATTGCATTGAACAATGCCCATCCTGCCATTGCGGGTGGTGCTTGATCCAGAGGAGGAACAAGTTTCTTCACTGTATAGGGGAGTCAGCAAGATCAGTTAATAGCCCATTTGACTCTGGATCCGAAAATGGTAGGTTCAAGCCCCATTTCAGGATTTGAGTGCATGTGCTGGCAATTGGGTCCCGTTCTCAAGTTGCTAAACTCAGCAGCAATTTGTGCACAGCAAATTACCTATAATTTTTCAACAATGTAGATGTTGTATAAAATGCAAGGATTATTATTCATCTATGAATGAATCCAATGTATATCTATGTATCTTCCAATAGCTTTGTTAAATACAGCATACATTTGTGCCACAAATAAGAGGACAAGTGATGTAGGTAACCTATTATTGTCATGTTTTTGGTTACACCTTCCATGTCCCGACATAGAATTGAGCATTCAATAGATTAATGTATGCAGAAACAATTATGAGGCTTTCATTGATGCAGCCGATAATTTGAGAAAGTGCAAGTTCTTCCTAGAATACAATCCTTATCCTCCCCTTTCTGTTGCTCCATGGCTTAGCTGATGGGGAGATAAAAACAAATTGAGCTGAGTGGAGGAGAACCCATTAGGCCATTAAATAAACAGTAAATAAAGCAGTATTTTTTCTTTTTCATCCACAGAATATGCACGCGCATCACAGAGCAATGAACACTGATGGGTCAGCAAGTCAGCTCAGCCTCTACACATCCCCCTCACTGCCTAACATTTCCCTAGGGCTCCCAGCTACAGTCACAGCATCCAACTCGCAGATCAATGTAAGTAGACAAAATAATGCAGGCACGTGGCATTGTGCGGGGAATATTCCCGTTGGTTAACTCCGTTATGCTTTCTAGTTATTTTAAAAAGCTACAACTAATGTAGATCCACATTTACATTTGACGGCCTTACAGCCACACTAATAACATTTCATTTTAGGACAAATGAATGAAATTCTCACAAAACAGGCTTTACTCACTCTCTTAAACAGAGAAATTCTAGTCTAGATTTATTATATTTATGTAGCATTTTGGAGTGTGTGGAGTTTGGCAAACTCAAATTCAGTCGTAATTCTGAAGCCGCAGTTCTTAAGAGAATTTACAATCAAGATCAGCTTGAAAATGAAGACTGTATTAAGCATTTGCCAAATTTTGGATGATGTTATGTAAATATAGCAAAACTAGACCTCAGTGGAATTTCTTTGTCCCCACCCCATTGTGTTTCCTGACAACTTTGCACATTATTTTCATAGATTGCTCTCAAAGACTGTACGATCTGATCTGGTCTTAAGCTGTGCATCCTGCCGCTCCACTACTGTTCAGTAGATGTTGAACTGAAAAGGAATAGGTCCAGGATAACTCCTGCTGTTACTTAGGCATTTGGAGGTTTCCATTCTGTGCTAAAAGTGACTTTGTGAGACTCTCTGTAAAACTGTTTAGGCATTTGGTGAGCACCTCTGCTCTTTGTGAGAGGAGGGTATCGAGTGTTTGAGATTTTTCTGATTCAATCTGTTTGAATATTTAGGAGAGACTAAGATTCCTTTTGCCTGAGAGCCTACATTTTAGGTCAATCTGCTTCCATGGAAGGTCTCGCAACAACTGAAGTGAGGGCTAGTAATGGTCGCAAGTGCTGCAATGATTTAGAAGTTTGTTTCTCTTTCCCGTCCCGTGAATTTATTTTAATCTTTAATTTCACTTATTCTTGCCCTAAATCGTGGCTGAAATCAATAACTTGAATTCTTAAATAAAACCGCTTCTCTAATGGAATGTGACGAATGGGTAGAGAAGCAGAGATCACCTCTTTTGTCATGGGAATCCAGTATTCGTGGACCCACAACCTGGATGTTTTTATTGCTTTCTATGTATGTAGGCATCGCAAAAGCTGTCAGCCCAACAGGAAGCGGAGAGGCAAGCTATACAGTCTTTACGCCAGGGTGGTGCTTTAACTGGAAAGTTCATGAGCACCACCTCACTACCATCCTGCCTCACAGGAGTAGCAATTGAAGGTGGAGAAGGCAACAGTCACAGTCACCCTTCCCTCCTTCAGCACGTGCTGCTACTGGAACAGGCTCGACAGCAGAATGCTCTGATAGCTGGTGAGTTGTCTGCTCACTATTGAACTGAGGTTTTAATCCAATGGGCACACTCTGATACGCTTCCCAAGTGGCCATTATTCCTGTGTTCTCTTTAACGGGGTTTGTTGGCAGGCTATTTTACTGTGTCAGAAAGGAAAAGAAGAGCAATTGGCATTTGTAGCTGAGCCTGATCCTGTTCATCCTGCGCATCCATTGTACAGTAGGGGTCGCTAGAGAGCAATCAGCTGCTGGGACACTGTATATCAAATGCACGGATTATTATTATAAGCGATTATAAGGGGCTATGTCAAATATCCCAATGTCCTTTTGAGTAAAAATACTAAAACTAGACAGTGTTCTCTCTTCCCCTCTCTTTCCTTTCCTCCCCTATCCTCTCCCAGAGTGAAAAAGATTTTCAACTCAAGCAGCTAATGCTGCATCGATCGACTTGTTAAAAAAAACAAACTAGATCAGTGAGTGTTTAAGATCAGTCTTGGAAGATGTAGGAATAGATGCAGATTGATCAATACATATTGTTCAGACCAGAGAATGTGTGGACAGAAGCAGCTTAGGGTGTTGGTGGAAGGAAGGAGGCCGGGTTAAACATTCTAAAATGTTTACCATACAATGGATGGGATCGCATACAGGAGAACTGGTCTTAAAACATTTTTTTAAAAATAAATAAACAAATGTTTGAATTGGACGCACACAGGCATTTTTGCATTGGAAACGATTTATTTATTGTTGGTGTTAATTATTTTACCCAGTGCCGCTCCACGCACAATCGCCCCTCGTGACGAGCGAGAGAGGATCTTCCAACCTTCGCACGGTGAACAAATTGCCTCGGCACCGTCCGCTCAGCCGTACCCAGTCAGCTCCTCTACCCCAGAGTCCACAGGCTCTGCAGCAGTTGGTGATGCAGCAACAGCACCAGCAGTTCCTGGAGAAACAGAAACAGTACCAACAGCAAATCCAGCTGAAGGTGAGCAAAACACAATCCCAAGTTATTTGTCTATGCTTATTTTAAGAATGCGTTGGAATAATATTAATCTTGCATTTGATATTGAGCCTTATCACCTCGTGGGGGCGTCTCAAAGCGCTTTGAGATGTCTGAACGCATACAGTCAATTCACTTTACAGTATATTCTGTGAAGCGCTTTGAGATGTCTCGAAGACGTGATAAGGCGCTATATCAAATGCAAGGATTATTATTATAACTCCACCACCTTTCATCTTAGATTTAGTTTTTCAGATGACCTCCAAGAAGAGACAAAATAAGTTTCTTTACAATTTATTTAAAGATGGGGAAAAATAGGTGAAAAGGCCAAAGTCCATTTATTGATTTTTAGTTCAAACAATGCTTCAGGAACGTACAACTCTGATCATCGAATGCACCGGTCTTCAGTTCTTCAAGTCACCTGTAGTTCAAAAATGAAACTTTAATAGAAGCTAACTTTCACAGCAGGACGTCAGTTCATACTTCTGCAGATAGAAATCACTTATAATAATCCTTGCATTTGATATAACACCTTCTCATGTCTTTGAGACGTCTCAAAGCGCCTCACCGAACTTAACAGCACTTCACAATAGAGTGGTCTGGTTGGCTGTTCTATTGAAAATGATTGGGAGTTGAGAAAAGCGACTTGTGTGAAGATGGCAATAAACAAGGTTGACAGGGATGGGGGTGGCTTCAAGATGGAGAAAAGTTTAGAAGATTTTCTCGACTAGTAAAGTAGCCGCAATGAATGAGATGGAATAGAAAATACACTCAATGTTAGATAGACATTTCAGGACATCGTGACAGCAACCATGTGTGGCATACAGAATACGTCTGTATAATTTGAGTTCCATACTGCCCCTCCCCATCCAGAGTAACCGTGTTTGCATAACAAATGTATATTAAAATATATCACTTGGTAGGAATTCAATCAAAAGCAACAGTAGCAGACTTGTGAAATTAATTTAACTTGTGGGCGCCAGTGGGATTGAGTCTGTTAATTGAAGATTTGTTAAATTGAGTATTTGTTTCTCCCCCCACCCCCCACCCCCACCCCCCCAGATGCTTTCCAAGTCAAATGAGCCACCCAGACAGCCTCCCAGCCACCCGGAAGAGACAGAGGAGGAATTGTGTGAGCAACAGGACATGCAGGAGGATCAGACACCTTCAAGCAGCAACCGCCTCAATCCCGGGGAGAGCGAGGGAGCAGACCAGCCCCCTGAGCAGGACGCAATGCAGGTGAAGGATGAGCCACCGGATAGCGAAGAGGAAGATCAATTGGAAGATCAGAGAGAAGCTGAAGAACAAACGCTGCATTTTAATCAGGTAATTCCACTGCTTTATTAACTTCAATTTCCTATCTGCAGTGGCAGCAATGGTCTGGGACGATGAGTCACTACTTGCCGCCCACTTCCAGTTCCCATTTGATTTGATGCTCGCTTTTCGTAGCAGCAAGCAATGAAATTAACTTTTATAGTCCGTGGGCTTGAACTTTTTTTTAAGACACAAAAACCCATCAAAGATGACAATCCCATTGGAAATGCCGATCCGATTTGAAGAGTAGAAGTTGGAGATCGTTTTTAATTATCACCGAATATAAATATACTTTGTATACATTGCCTAAAAGCCTCTCGTGGATTTTTTTTCCTCTCTCCCGACTGTTGAAAAAGCTGAATGAAATATTTAGAATCACCATAAGAAAGTAATGAATGAGGGATGCAAATTTTTTTCTTCCCTTTAACTCTCTCCCACCCACCTTTTCTCCCTGAAATTGAATTAATTCTCAAGTGTACAAATTCATTCAGAGATTTGTATTGAGACAGTATGATTTGGAGACTGCACAATCGCAAATATTTTGCACCTTTCGTTTGCTCAACGACAACTTGTATTTATATAGCGTCTCTCATGGAGGGTAGTGTCCCGGAGAGCTTGACAGTGATGGAGCACGACGCCGGAGAGGAGGGAGGTGACTAGGCACGGTCGAAGAGGAAGGTCTTCATGCGCGACCTGAAGGAGGGGGCAAGGCAGAGGGTTAGAGGAAGAGTGTTTCAGAGTTTCACAAGGGGTAGTGGCTGAAAGCGCTATATAAAATGCTACTATATAAAAAAGCTAATCATGAAGATGTTATGGGTTCAAGTTAGGATCTTAGATGATGCTGATTGCACAGTACCTCTCACGTTGTGCCATGGAGTGCAGAATGCAGGTTTGCACCTCCAGTTCGCCATCTCATAATGGTTCAGCTGAGCCTGGGTTAGGATCAACGCACCATCTAGAAACCATGCATTTCACCATTGGGAGGGAAGATGGTGCAGTGGTTACGGTTTACTTTTCCCTGTTTAAGCCCTCTGAGATACTGCCCCACGTGAAGGGCGCAAAATAAATAGTTGTTGTTGTTCTTTTCTCACTGCATGGTGAGATATGGCACTTAGTGTGCAATGTACCCAAATAAAAAGAAGGCAGATGATACTTTTGTCAAAACAAAACAGATGGCATCACCCTTTTTGTTCTGTTAAATGGTGCTGTTTTAAAACCTGTTTTGGTTTCCAACAATTCCATGCTCTCACTTTACCAAATCATTTCTGTTTAAGTAAAGATAGAAAATGTGCTCAATCTACTCCTTTACAGAGCTGAATAAACATAAGCATCATATATACTAGTTGACGCAGAGAAATTCTAAACATTATAAGGTTACCAGCTGCAGGCACATTAGTAATGGAAAGATCAATGGAAGGTTACGTTCAGCATTAAGTTTCCTGGTTGGTACCATAGAATGGTCCTCAGTAAATGTGTGTTGCTTCATACAGTTAGAAATGCAAACTAGAAAAGGGCTCTTTACCAAATGTGAATCGAGTGGCGCTATTCCTTAACACTTTAACTCCTTGTGAGTGCATGAAAATCAGATCATAACTGCCGCAAGAGATGTGATTTTATACCAAAAATCTAATTTATCTGATGAGCTAAAATCCAATCCTACTTAAGTGATGTATGTTTTCCATTGCCCCTTAATGAAGATTTGATTATTTTAATGTTACAAGAACAACAAGATTACATTTGTACAGCGCCTTTCAAGTCGGGAGTACGTCCCAGGGCGCTGGACAGTGTACAACATTTCAGATGTCAGTATCGAGGTATAATCATTGACTGTGGTGTAGGCACCACATATGTATGTAAGAGCAATTGGAAGGTTCTTTATTTGACTAATTTGACTGCTGCAGCTTTAAAAGTGAATATTGCTGTTTAATAGTGTTACTGGCGATTCCTGCAGATGTAAGGAAAGATTTTGTCAATCTTCAGTAAGATATTGTCACTTATATACCTCCCAAAATTTTAAAGTTAACTCAGGGTTTCTAAAATAAAACATGCAAGGGCCACTGAAGCTTCAGTTACTTATTGGTTGTTGTCTCTTATAAAATCCACTGAACCAGACATGGGGAATGTTCCTTTGTGATCGTCAGGCCCCAAAAGAGTGAATATGTCCCACTTATTCTGATCAAACGCATAAAATGCACCACATTGTCTTAATCTTCGCCAGTTAACTAAGAGGTTTGGTATGCGAACGGATGCATTGAAAGCTTTATTGGAGGTGCTCTGCCTGCAGAAAACTGTTCCCACGAATAAACATACTACGTAATATCAGGGAAAGAGGATTTCTTGTTCTTTTCAGCGGGGTTTGTGGTTTTCTATTGGCATAGCTTTTCTAAAGTCATAGCAGAAGGTGGGATGTAACCACAATTGCATACCCTACGCTGTAAGAAGTTCATGCGGTTTCTTGCAACCATTCTAGATATTTCAGCACATCAGGAGACCAACCATTCAACCATTGTTTCTGTGCTCTGCCTGCTTCCAGCTGGAGCTATCTACTCGAATGTAATTTCTCTGCTTTTTTCCAGTTACCCTGTTATCTCGATTTGTCACATGTTATGTAATTCCCTTTTCATATTATATAATTCACTCTGTATCAATAGCCATGTAGGCACGCACTGCCCGCTAGTTTTGAGTAAAGCTAAGCCATTACTGACTAGAAGATTGCTGATCACAGCCAGCACAGTCCTTGTGGGTGCTACAAGGAGAGCAAACGACAACTTGCATTTATGTAGCGCCCTTTATGGGGGTAGTATCCTGGAGCGCTTGACAGCCTAGGTTCCCACTCCTGATTGCTAGTCTGCTGGAAACTGAGTGAGTGCGTTGCAGGCATTAGGTAATGACTGTGATGCTGCTGTCTGTATCATAATCGGCCAATATTTACTGGCTCATGTATTAAATAAACTAGGGCAACATACCAGAGAGATGCTGCTCTGTGGAATTGTATGTTAGCAAAGCATGATGCAGAGCATGGTACTTTAGGAAGTGGACTCGGTGCAATTTCATTTCTCATAATTGCAGGATGCAGTGTACACATGTTAAAAGATATTGTGTGATGATTGACGGGAAAAATCTATTTTGTTTAGAATGAAATTGGTTTAGGATAGTTAAACTGAGACAATTTCTATTTAAGAAGCAACAAACGGAGAAGAGATAAATGCAATAAAACTTTGAATTGTATACACAAAGATGTTAGCTTTTAGTACAGTCCAGAAAATCTGTCGCTTGCCAGTTTCACATTTCTGTTCATTTCAATGAGCCAAACTGCAACTGGGTTTATAAATCTGAAATTGGATAGTAAAATGGATCAAAATTAGTTTGGATTTTATCTAGTTTTTAGATTGCTTTTCTGGAAAGTTGCTCGGGTTGTTTGATGGTGATTGCAGGCCAGCTTTAGTCCTGCAGGAACCACATTTTAATACTGTACTCCAGAGCTACTACTGTGGCCGTCTGGAATTTTACATTGCAGCTGAGCGCTGCTCAAAGCTCAGTGATGGGTTACTGTGTTTATTATTTTTTCCAAAAGTATAATTGCATAAAGTTGTACCTTTTATGAACAGCGGATGTCAAGGGTCTGATGCCCAGTCATTGAACACCAGTTTGCTGACTTAGTAAACAGAGGCACATGTGAGATCATTTACCAGGATGTCGGGTGCATTTCTAAGCTCAGTCTATTTAATAATAATGGCTCTCTTGTAGAATCCGAGTAAAATTCAGCATCATGAATTATTATAGCCAGTGTCTTATAACTCCGCCTCTATCTGCTGCCCCCAGAGGTATTTTCTGTTTAACTTCTCACTGTTGTGACATTCTAAAAGCTGTAGTGGCAGAGTGCTAGACCACCTCGCTGACAACCCGACTTCAGATACCAGATTCAATGGCAATGAAGTGACTGTTTCTTAGCTGGGCGGGTAACAGGAGCACCTTGTGGTCGAAGGCTCGCTCCATCTCAACTGGAAGAAGATGAGCAATACCAAGTACCATTGACAGAAGCTATGGCAAAGTCTTCAGGCAGACTTTTCCATCTTACTGGCAAAATGACAACACAGAGCTGGGAATACAGTAAAGAATGGAAGGTTTTATTTTTAGAACTGGAGCTTTTGTTGCTGCGAGATTGACTTGGTGCTGTTCAGTGTGTGTTTAAAGCTTCCATTCATACTTGTAGCCAGTCCTTTGAATGGTTCCTGTGAATGGATAGATCTGATCTGAGGAGACATGCAGGAAATGGTATCCTGTAATGAGCAATTTGTTGTAAAATAGGTATTCATTGCGTAGTTCCACTGTCTGGCAAAAATGCTGCAATCACGAAAAAGGCATGAATCCAACATCGTTTGTGGAGATTCCTGCTTTAATTAGGCATGTAGTAATGTGCTGTTGTGTGTGTGTGTGCGTTTGTAGCTATAATTTTCTTTTTCAGCATTAGATTACTTCCCAAAAGATTTTTGCAATCATCAAAACGTATGCAGCACTAAATTGCAGACTAATTGGGTAATGCTGTGAATTTCCATCTGTTGTTTTGTGAATGTAAAATGACCTCGAAGGCAAAGATTGCACATTGAGCATTGCTGCTCCTTCCATGGGTGATGAGTATCACACATGGAGTATCAAAATTCACACATTTTAAGCCTTTTTATTAAACAGAGTTTGTTAAATACAATCATTATAGACTAGATTCATTGTTTCCTAGCTACCTGGACTATTTGACCTCTTAAAACTCCATTGTAAACTCCTGATTGCATGTGGTACTGATTGAAACGTGGTACCCAGATTCTTTGTGGAGTTGCCATGTGAATAAAGCTTCCCAGTGTGTTGTTTATCTTTGATGCACATTGCCAAGTCATGACAAAGAATGGGGGAAATAGCAAGCATATGCCTTTTATTTTGAGACTACAAGTAAACACAAAAGGATTTAACTCTGAATGCTAAACACACCAATTTAGAAAGTGAAGGACTGTCTAGAAGAGGCAATGTGCAACCTACAGAAGTTGTATGTAGAAAGGATGTTTATGCCAGGATTTGAAAATGCCGCAACAAAATCTGTAACCTTTGAGATTATGGCAGGAATCATGCAATGGAACCGATGATGATGCTTTTTCAGAAGCCAAAGACTTTGTTTACAAAATTGCATGCAAAAGATCTTAGATGTAATTTCATGCATGCAGCGTGTTTAACACACACCACACGCGCACTCACACACAGACCTATTGATGCTTGACTCTCGTGTTTTGAAACAAAAAGTTTGCAAACTGCCAGTTTGAAAGAAAATATCCTGTAAACACTTCTTTTTTTTTCTTCAATATCGGTAGAGAAACTGGATAACATGACCGTTTTTTCATTCCACGTGAAAAAAAAACTGTTGGTTGCCTGCCATTAAGTAACTGCAAGCAGCTTTCGCTACAGGATCATAGCACAATGCCTCGCTCAACATGGGGGAGGTTTTAAGTACATTGGAGAGTAAACAAAAATCCAATCTATATTATCCTGTAAATGTTTGTTTCCCAATTTGCATTATTTTAAAAAATAGCAGAAAGCCAATTGTAAAAAAATACTGTGTACTTTCTAGGGAGCGCAGTCGTGTTTTGTGATCTTCTGGCTCAAAGGAAAAATCCTTGTTGACAAACAGTGTTTTATGTATGTGTGTGTGTATAAGAGAGGCCCCTACTGCTCATATAGCATAGTAGCCTGTTTAGCAATAAAAAAGATGGTAGTGGACAGATCATGTTCCCTGTGATTTAACAATAATTGACTCACTAAAAGGATTTTCTAAACCACCAGTTTAGATGAAAATTCCGAGTCTCTTAAAAGTTAGGAATTAAATTTCTCCCCGACTAGTGTCTCACTGTTCACAGTGGAGATACAGTGCACGTGCTTTGTGTTTGCACAAAGAAGCAACATTACTTTACTTTTATTCCCCTGTGCTTGCCACTCATTTAAATTGCATGTACACTCTGGTGGAGCAGGAACAGAGCTGCTGTTGTGCTTTGGCTGTCATTTTGGGTGTTAATTGCAAATCTTACAGATGGGTAAGTTTGTTTTCGTTCTGTTTGTTGTGATTTGTTTTAAACAACTCAATTATTTCTGTTCGACTCGCTTCCTCGAATTTAAAGTTTCACATTTATCAAAAATATTTCAGGAATTCTGACTCATTGGACCAAAGTTGTTTCTTAAAATAATTTTCCAGATTATTCTTGCAACTCATGGCTTTTGTGTTGAAGGGAATTGGATGGTAAATCAGACTAAAATGGACCCATTCCTCTTACCAGTCGTTCCCCTTCTATTTATAGTTCCAGCACTGTGATATCACGTCTCGAAGGCGTGCTGAGGCGCTATATCAAATGAAAGGATTATTACCAGCAATGCCTGGGATTATAGTGGATGTGGGGCTATCGCCAAAGGTCCACAAAAGATACTCGTGCACCCCAATAACTTAATTCACTTTTCAATTTAAACACAAATGTTTGGTGCCTTTTTTTGGTTTCCACCCCTTTATTTTCGATCCCTTGCACCACTATTAACCAGGTAAGAGTGAGTTATGGTAAGCTGCGCTTGGGCCCGTCTTTTGTGCCTGGCCTTTGATCAATATCTTTGGGGGGAGAGAAAACAATCTGCATTAGGATGATTACTGTAGTACTGCACTGCGGTCGTTTCTACCATTACTAAGCTCACTTGTCAGGCAACAACTTGTATTTATATAGCACCTTTCACGAAGGGTATTGTCTCAAAACCGTTTACAGAGATGATGTATAACACTAAACAGGGAGGTGGGAGGTGACCATAGGCACAGTTGAAGAGGTAAGTTTTCAGCAGCTTTTAAAGACCAAGAGGAGGTGAGGCAGAGCGAATTTAGGCTTTGGCAGAAAATAGTGCCCAGAATCGTTCAATATTCACATCAAATCATTTTGTTTCATTTCAATTAATTTTGTGCTCGTCGGACTATTTTGCGTTGTTTAGTCTGCAGTAGCAGAGGGCTCAGATTAAAGCTCCCTCTCTGCACTACTCCAGCAATGTCCCCTGCAGCACCAGTGTAGCATCTATATCCTCACACCTTGAGCTGCCCGGGAGTTCTGCTGCCAATTTAGCAGTCCGCAGTTTGTGTTGTGAATTCATAACCATGCCTTACAGACACTGGAAAACGCACCCAATTCTGGGCTGGATTCAGACCTCGCTGCAAGAATTCAAAGGGCATTATTTTAACCTACTACAACTTGCAGTCATTTTTGTTCAATGCAAAATCCTGCCATGCTCACGCTTACTAATCAAAAAATTACTTACTCTTTAGCTGAAGTTAATTGTTTTTTTAAAAAAACAACTTTTTTTAAGATTGTATTCTTAAATATAAGGCTTTGTTTTTTTTTATTGCACATCATGGAAGGAAATGGTTTGAGTACAAACCTAGATTGACGTAATGCAGCCTTCCCTACCCCCGACACACAAGTGTAATGTAGAGGAAGAGTTAATGGAAACTGGCGAAATCCTTTACACTTTTAAGCTTAATGTCAACAAGGTTAAGTTTATTTAAAAGGTGAGAAGATGAACTTTCTCATATAATGCACTTTGGGAAGAACTCCCTCCACTGTGCAAGTGGTTATCACTGCCTTTTGCCTCCAGTGTTGGAATGCAGTACTAAGCAGTTTATGGGAAACAGATGCTTTTTGTTTTATTCAGTGCTGCCTGACATTGTCCTGTTGGCAATATTAAAAATATTTTCAAAGCTAACTTAAATTATAGTGTCTCCTAAGTAAATATGTTGGATAAATACCCTGGGGAGTTTCAAGATGCCTGTCATTGACTTTTGGCATTCTTCAAAAGGCTTGGCCACAAACTCAGCTTTAGTTTTTTTTTCATAACGTATTTTAAAAGGCAACTGATTTTTTTTAATGTGATGTTGTGACCTCCAACCTCTCAGTACAAAGGATCCAGTATTTACAACAAATGTCTTCCTTCAGAAACTGCGAATCATCTTTTCAAACTTCCTGTTTCTGACAGCAGCTGAAAGAGTTTATGATAAATGTCATTTGCCGATTTGCTTTAGGCACATTCTGTGTGTTACAGTGTTGCTCAATAAGTCTTTTTGCAATAATTAGACTCATTCAAGGGGGTCTGTTGATAGATTCTGGGAAGGAAGGTCAAGGTTAACAATCTGCCTAAACCACAGATCTCTTTAAGAAAAACATAAAACTTCCTTTAACTAGTGATCGGGATAATATCTCTTTTAATTATAGTAAGAACACAAGCCCAATTGCTGTTTTGTAGTGCAAAAGAGAGGGTTAAAAAAGCCCTCTTGCCGCTTGATGTGCAGCTTGCCATCTGTTACACAATAATTTTTAAATATTTATACTTTGCACACACGGTGAGCTGCTGATCTCAGCTGTGGTCATCTGGAAAGACTCCCAAGCAGAGGCAAGGTGCCTCTCCATAAAAGGAAGGAGGCAAAAATTGAAGGGCAAGGTCAATACATGTCGCTATGAGACATTTATCACCGACCACTTTGTGGTGGAGGCAGAAGACCAGAAGCGGGGTCACTTGGTTGTCTGCTCGATGGAGTGTTGCACGAGATCGGAGACGAGGAGGGAGACATTGTGAGAAATATAAATATAAAGAAATGAATCCATTCTGCTTTCTTTGGCACGGAGCTTCAGTTGTCGTTAAACTGTAAGGCTGCGTTGGGTTTTGGGCGTGGGTGTCAGGCATGAATCTATTGTCACGAGGGAAAATGCGGGCTGGCACCTGTGGATCTCTGAAAAGGTGTTCCTCAACTCAGCTGAACTGGAGCTGAGGATGGAGCTGTCCAGTCCCCAAAAGGAGGGAATATAAGTTATATTTCCAGAGCTTAGCAGTCACAGTGTTACCAGCATGAGAGCAAGTTAACCTCTCAGTGAGGGAATATGACTTGGTGTGGTGAAACCTAAACTGAATATCATTGTGCATTCATAACCTTTGAACATAGAATTAAACTGGAATCGAAGTAACCAGCGAGTCCTCTGTGATCGTGTAGAGTATTTAGTGGAAGAAACGTAGTGTAGAAAGTGTGTGAGGGTGGAAGAACGACCCTCTGAGGAACTGTTAAATGAAACCGAGTATGTGTATGAAGCAGAGAATTCAAAATGTTTTGGATTTTTATTCGAATGGCTGTAAATTGTGGAACCAAACTGAAAAAAATCTATATTTTCACCTTTCATAGCAATTCTTGGACCAACAACGCATGCAACAGCTTCACGTGTACCAGGCTTCCGTAGCCATGGGTAGCATGTCTGTGACCGACCGGCATCGACCACTATGTAGAGCTCAGTCATCGCCAGCCACTGCAAACTTAAAAACTCCTGTTACAGAGAGCCCCATCAAGCATCTTTTCACTACTGGTAAGGACATTATATATGTGCATTTAAAAAAAAAGTTGCATCTACATTTGAAAACTCTGTGTACATTAAAGTGATCAACAATGTTTTAAAGAGTGCTTATAGAGATTACATGTCACACCATCTTTGTGGATTTGAGATATTAAGCTATTTTGTACACTACTGAAAGCTGGCTTCAGTGTGATCTGCGTGTATCTGAATATAAGTGTTTGTTTATGAAGTGGAGTTTTTTTTGTGTGTTTATAGTATAGCCAGTTCTTTAGAGCTTTGATTACTCAGTTTACATCTGTGAATTGGCCTCCATCGTGGGATTGGATAACTCATTGAGTTATAACATTTGAATCCATCCCCGATTGACTAAATTGCCTGATTGAGTACACTGAGCTTAGTCACTCTCAACCCACTTCCGAGTTCGGTTCAAGTCCACAGCACAAAATGTCCACAATTGGCAGACTTGACTCATTCAAAGGCTCTTAGGATGGGTGGTGGTGGGAACCGGAAATATTTCATTGCTGCAGTAGAAAGACCTCTTCCAAAGTTGAGGTTAAGGTAGGTTATTATTAAGGCAAAGCAGAATGCAGTTTATCCTGCTGATACTGTTTCTGGGAATTGGACAAAAAAAAGGTTTCATTCCCAAGCATGAATATTTACCAAAGAAACATTTAATTTGAGAAACTGGCATCAATTATTTTAAATCATCTCAGGGCAATGGATGACTAAAATAACTTGGCTCCAATTAAACTCAAAGTGTTAAAACGCTGATCATTTGGATTATGATCTGAGAGCAACCCTTACTGATATTTCTTCTCTCTCTAGGTTTGGTCTATGACACTTTCATGCTGAAACACCAGTGTACATGCGGTAATACTAACAACCATCCAGAGCATGCAGGGAGAATACAGAGCGTTTGGTCCAGGCTCCAGGAAACTGGGCTGCTCAGCAAGTGTGAGGTAAGAAGGTAGGGAGAATGATGGACGAGACTCAAAAGCTATCCAAAAATGCTGGAGTCAAATACAGTTTCCCAAGAATGAATGATTAAGAGGATTGCTTCAACTACCAAATGTTGACTTTTCAACTGTGACGTGAACTAACCATTGCAAACACAAACTCTTGTGTTCTATTCACAGCAAATATTTTTCCACTTTCCCAGCATTGACTTTCTTTAAAATGTTTTTTGAATACACCAATCCTTGTTAAGGAGTTTAAAAGCCCTCATATTTTCTTTATATATTTTTAAAAGTCACTGAACATTTCATTAAATGAAATGCGAGGGGGACGTGCTCTGAAATTTCGCACAGTTCTTAACTGCAACTTGAATTGTGTTGGAAGCATCCATGCATTATGGGCCCAGGGTATCAAAAGTGACTAACTTGTGGAACTGCATCTGTAAAAGGTGTGAAAAGTCCAATAGCAAATACACTGGTTTCTAATCCAAAACTGGTCTGATTGGAGTCTGCCATGTTTTCTTTTATTGGTCTAAGAAATGAGCGTTTGTGTTGGATGTGTGGTACAGCGCTTATCTACCCGACTGTGTTATTTTCTGGAATGATCAGCAGTTGCCCTTTTCAGGCTCAAAACAGTTCTGAACTACTGTATTAGAGTGTTGCTCAACTCAACAGCCATGTTTAGCCTGAACAAAAAATAGTCCTGCATTTACTAGCTCACTATTTAGAAACAAAGAATGAGGAAGTTCAGTGTAATTGGTCCTTCGAACATTATCATTTCAACTCTGGCACCTGGGTTACAATCCAACTCAAACTGGATGTTCAAGGTCTTGATTAAAATGAAGGGAAGCAATTTAAACCCAATATAAGGTAGGCATAAAGCCAGGTCTGTATACTAATATGGGAATCCTGCTTGAAAGATCTATAAAAATATACAGTGTGCAAAATATCCTTCTGTTGCAGAATGGGGTGTGCTTTTTTTGAGGTTGGCTTTTGGGTCTGTTGCAGTATAGTGTATTGGAATACTTGCATTGCATCTGTCTCTTGCAACATGTCACAAGGAAGTGTTTGCTGCCTCAGGATATACATTGATAAGTTATTTACCAGAAGTGTTGTCCTGCACTGTAGGGAATATAAATCTAGACTCGAATAAAAGGTGATGGTTTTCTCTGGCTAGAGGAAAAAAATATACAGGTTAGAAGAAAGGTTAACCCACAGACTCCATGTTGAGCTAGACTCGATCAAAATTTAGACTCCGTATAAACTTTCTACAGTTTAACTTTATACATCTCTTTTTGCTTTCCCGGTGGCATGGTTTCCAGATCTTTTATTTTTAATGGCTCTTTCTGTTCTGGGAAGCGTCCCCAATACTGACTGCTGTCCTGTTTCTGGGTATCGCGTAAGTCAATCAGTTGTAATCCTACCTTTTGTATAATGTATCTGTACCTAGCTCTGTCATATCTCCACTATGTATGTATTGTATGTGTAAACAAAATCTTCAATAAAATGTTATCAAAGAAAAAAAAATGGGAAAGTACAATATATGTCCAGATACTGGAGAGAAACCCAATGAGAGTATAGATGAATTGGAAACATTTTTTTTCAAAAAAAAGTCTAGTGCAAAACAGCCTTTGGATTGTTGTATAATATATACTAACTATTTACTGCCTCAGCAAAACACTGTGATTTTAATACCCTCTTTCGAATCAGTGATGTTCTAATCTGTGGCTATCACATTCACAAGTTGTTGTATGCTTTTGTGAACACCAATGCGGCACTTCCGATTGTAACTAACGTTCTCCTCAAAGCACTCGATCATCTCAGCAGCACAATGTTAACGGTATGTTACTGATTCCATTTCCTCACTTCAAAATCCTAGTTAGTATATATTATATAAACTGAAAGATGCTGTGGAGCGAGGTAAAGGCACCAATTCAGTCTCAGGGAGGGAGGGGAGAGGATTAATAAACCTCTCCAACTGCTTCTTTGTGGCTTATGATAGGATTGAAGTCATTACTGTATTCTGCTGTGTATAATGCACCCATTTTTTTCTGGACATTTTGACCTAATAGTGCGCGTTATACATGGGTGTAAAATAATCATGCTCTGGACCCTTGTTCCTGCTGAAGTTTCATCCATTTCTCCCTCAACTAACATTCAAAATTGATTAACCTTTCAGATTAATAGTTCTCTCATTTCTCAGGAGCGGTTAAATCATTTTTCAAAATTCTCCCGTTTCCTTAACGGATTTGCTAACAACTCATTCAATTTGGCAGCTCCCACATCTACTGTGCCTGTGTATAATGAGTACTTAAAGTAATTTCTCTTTCCTCTTTCTGCTTCCCCACCCCCTCACTAATTGCAGTGTGAGTTATAAACTGATGTGCATTATACTCAGACAATACAAGGGTTGAATCACAGCTCGTGACTCCATCAGCAGCATGTACTTTCTTGATTCATGAAGTCTTTTGTCCCCTTTACAGCAAAGTGAACTTTTTTCTGCCGCCTCTCTTAACATGCACAACCGCACCACATATTACAGTGACGCTCCAGCATTTTTCCAGGTTCCAGGCAGGGTCTGTTCACAATTCTGAGTCACCGTTAGCCACGTCAACCATTTTAATTGACAAATAACCCAAGCAACAACCAATGCGTAAAAGTGCTGCATAGATCCGAAGCAAATGAGCATCACACGTTTTCATTTGGAAAGTTATTTGCATGGTCAGTCGCTACAGGGCACTTACCAGCAATTAGCCAGTGAGTGCTACAGGTTCAGAGTGTTCATGCTACAAGCACCTGCAGTTTATGCATATTCATAAAGAATATTTGAATCCAGTATGAAATTGGGTTAGCACAGAGGAGCCACCAATGATGCTGCACTGGCATTGTGCCTTGACATTTCTGACGAGTGCCACCTAAACGATTAACCCTTTGAGTACTGAATGTTATGTGCAGCGTTTGAAACCTACATATTTTCTGTCTTTATGTCTGTTTGGGGGTGGGGGGGTCATGGTTTTTTTTTTCTCCCTGGTAAATTTCTTGCAGTGAATATTATGGTTTAAACGTGGGGGTGGGTGTATATGAAAGCACAAAGCTTTTTAATTGACAGTATTCTCAGAGTAAACATTTTTTTTTGAAGAAAAATGTTTTTTTGCTATTTTTTTAAAAAAGCTTTTTGACGGGTGGAGAAATGCTACTGCAGTTCCTCAAAGGGTTAATCGTTCTCTACTTACTTTTGCAGCGAATCCGCGGTAGAAAGGCGACTCTGGATGAAATTCAAACAGTGCATTCAGAACACCACACATTGTTATATGGCACCAGCCCTCTGAACAGACAGAAGCTGGACAGTAAGAAGTTGCTAGGTATGTAGTTATCACCCCATAATTCAAATTTAATCTATAAAAGAAGTGGGGGTGGGGGCAGGAAAATGCACAAACCTGCCAACAGTTTACATTCTATGACTCCTTCATTTTTACTGACCATGTTGAACGTCCCTTGCATCGTGAATATCTTATCTCCTGTCATGTTTATTTGCTGCCCTGAAGGAAGCCTATTCTTAACAGTCAATCCACTTTACCGTATATTCTGAAGCACTTTGAGACGTCTTAACGCCTTATCACGTCTTAACAACATGATAAGGGGCTATATCAAATGCAAGGATTATTATTATTATTATTGTGCCAACTGAGCATTCTTTGTGGATTATGTGAGCTTATCCAGTTGTAAGATATCATTTTTATATAAAAAAAAGTCTTAACCCTTATCAATTCAAAACTTGAGACACCGTGCTTAAAATTGTTGAGAATTTCAGAAGCTGCAGTTAAAATTTGTCTCAGTAATAGTTGGCTGTGTCATTTGTTAATACTTAGAAACCCAAACGTTACATAAGTGTTATATTATCTTTTCACATTTTCCCAAGAGAAGAAAATAACTAGTGTCAACTTTGTACCACTGACTGACGCATTAAAGAGTATTTTGTTGGCATGTTTGTCTAGGTCCTATTACACAGAAGATGTATGCACTGCTACCCTGTGGTGGACTTGGGGTGAGTACAGTCAAGCATAGCTCTTTGCTTAAAAATAATTGAGTAAATTTGGTTTGACTTCGCTTGAGCACAGGGCCAAACAATGCCCTTCTGCTCTGTTTCTTGTCCAACATCAGCAACGTTGTCAGGTGCGAGACAACTGTGATACACAAACATTCATAGTGGTCGTAGTTGATGCCTTGCAGAGATATTTACTTCAGAATGGGCTGTGTGCACAGTAGTGATTGAACACGTATAAGTTGCAGTGCTTCATTTTATTACCCTATTCAAGTAAAACTCCTCCAATCTCGGGGCACACTGCTGACAAAGCCGCACCAGCTAGATCTTGGCACTTTTTATTGATTGATTATCACTCCGACAAAGGGAATGGGGGACCGTTCATTAGGGGAACGAGCCGAGCTCCTCAAATGCAGAGCGAGGCGGTGTGGCAATCTCATTTTGTTCAATGACTGACTCTTTTGAGGGTTGCACCAGCATCTCTGCACCCTATTTGCAAAGGGTTAAAACGATGCGCAAATTGTGCTTTGATTCCAACAAGTGCGTAAACTGTTACCTTTTTAATGCATTCTGTAACATTCATTCCAGAAGGCAGTCGTGTTTCATTATACAAGCATTGACAAGGTTGTTCTTATTGGAACTAATAAGAGATTTTGCAGAGGTTTGAACTCTCCTGACTATAGCCAAGTAGAGTTACAAAGGGAACGCTCTAATAACAGCTTGTTATAATATTGCTCTGCTACGTCACTTAAACTTTAGAAAGAAAACTTGGAAACCCCAGCTATTTTTGTATGAGGGAAGCGATTGAAAGGACAATCTGCCTTCTAAGTATATTTCCAATCCTGTTTCGTAGCTGCACTGCCTTTCAAGCCAAGGGACAGACACTTCAGTAGTACGCGTCCACGATGCTTAATGTGTTTCCAAACATTTCATAAGATCTCAGTGAAAATAATTATTTATTTTTTTAAAAGTTCTCCCATTTGCAGTTATGTTATGAATTTCAAGCCCTTCGGTTCAGTTTGTGGTGGGGCATCTTTGTGTTTGAATGCACCACTGTTAGCATCTTTTATCCCTTCGTTTCTACATTCAAATGAGTAATGTGGTTTCTGGCACGCCACTTCACTGCAGGCACTATTTTTAGCTGTTGCAACAAAGTAAAGACTGCAGCTGAGTTCATGGGCCATATCCTTGTCCCTCCTCTGCCTCTTTCTCTCTGTCTCCCCCTCTCCCCCCCCCCCACCCCCCACAACCACCACGACTGCCTATCATTCCTCATGTTTTTTACATGTCAGTCTCAGATGGCTTTGGATTTATTCCTTTTTCTGCTGCGATTTGTTTCTTCTTGAAAATTGAGAAATGGCACCGTGCACAATCTCTCTGCTGCCAGTATTAGACGCAAGCTCTTCCTGAATACTAATCTTCAGCCGTCAAAGGGAATACATAAAGATACTTTTCCAAAGTCCTGATCAAATGTACGTGCAGCTACAGAAATGTCTCTCTCCCTGGCAACCTTTCTCTACCACAACCCCACCCAGAATGAAGTATTTATCCTGAATGCACTTCTTAAAAAGCCTGCAAAAGCGATTGAAAATTGGGGCCTTTTTCCACTTAAATCTAATATTATATACTTCCTGTTGTCAGTAATGGTACAGACCTGAAGCTTACTAAAGGGTTAAGGTCGCAAGCAAGTGTCCTCTCCTTAGAAACAAAGATTGGGTTTCCTTCCGTTCATGCCCAGAGTGAAAATGAAACTTTTGAATTTTGTTTTAAATCATCAAAAGAAAAGGTTACAAAATACTGAACAGTTTCAGTCTTGCCGTTTTATTCTGGCACTTTGAAAGCGGCCTTTCAACCATAAAACTTCTGCCGATCAGAAATTTGAAGGAAAAAAAAGCGGAGTCCCAGTTGACTGTTAAAATCTATTCAACCTGTCACAGAAATAGCCTTAGGAAAACAAAGAGTTAACTTGTACATCATGAGGTAGAGATTATGGTTGAGATCTTTCTCTACCAGTTAATGTGGTTCTCATCAACTGCCAACATCAAAGCTCTCACAGGCTTGTGTTTGTTTTATTTCCCTTTAATCAAAACTATCTTCAATTTCCCTTGCTACCCAGGCAGAAATTGGTAACAGACTAGTGATCAGCAGTTTTTGTGACTGTGAAACCGATTGATGTCACAGCTCACCATATGCCAAATTATCAGATTTTAAACTGTTAACACACTGAGAGAAGCTGTATTTGTATTTTAATGAAATCATCTGCACGTTACGTATATTTAATGCGTCCTTGATACACAGGTGTTGAGCTGTCTCTGGAAAAACTCTGTTAAGATTCAGAATTAAAACGTGGTAATTCCAAATACTGAATACCAGTCTTGATCAATAAAGCACTGACGATCACGTTATTGGATCCAGTGATGTAAAGGCTTTATTCTCTGCCTTGTTTCATGCATTTAAAAGTTTAGTCCCTGCTCGAAACATCAGAGAATAATTCTATTAAGAGGAATAATATCAGAGGTTCAAGGAATTGGGTTAAGGAAGATGAAGTAATTGGAATTTTTCCTTAATCTTGCAAAATCAGAAATTGCAAAATTGAATCCGAGAGAACAGTTTCAAGAGGTGAAAAAGTTACCGCTGCAATCTGCTGCTTTCAGTGTCGTCTGCAGCAAAAGAATAAATTGCTGTGTATTCAGACTTGCAACATTGCTTCACTGTTAATTTAACTGCAAGCTACAATTATTTGGGAGGAGGAAAGACAGTGTGATAGGGCAGGAGGTAAATCAAGTGAAAAGGGAGTAGATCAGCCAAAAGAGAAGCAGTAAGAGATCAGAGTGGGAAAGGGCACGGAGGTAGAGTTACCCAAAGGAAAAAAGGTTTGTGGCAGGAATTAAAGAAGGAGCAAGGACAGATAGAGCAGGGAAATTAATCTGAGAATTGGAAAAATCTGAAGGCGAAAATCAAAGCAAGGGATACTCTAAACCATCTTGTGAGAGCGAGTTACCTGTGGGGCCCAGGTGAAAACGATTTATCTGCAGTTTCATCCCAAAAGCGTTCGACCCGCAATAACATTCTTTCAGTTGCACTCTTCCTTTTTTTTTTGTCTTGAAGTTAATAGCACTCAGCAAAGGAGTAGGTTCACTTAGCAATCGTTTAGTTTTGAGATAATCAAATGGAAACTTTCAAGGTTATTTTCGTCTACTTGGTAAAGTTCAATGCATTTACTGACAGATGCAATATAGCGGCTTTCTGGAATTAATGCAATCGTTTTTCATTCTGCGTTGCTCACACTCCAGCCTGTCACTCCCAGGGCTTGCACGAGAGATTCGGAGATGAACTTCAAAGTTAGCACAGTTTTTTTTGTTCCAATATCTATTCTCTTTGTAACTGCCAGAGAAACGAGAGCTTTTGTGAGACGTTATACAAGGGGATAAATTTTGTGACAAAAAAGTTTTAGTTATTTTATTTGCAACTTATTTTGTGAAATTTTTTGAAACTTTTTTGCATACAATTTTTAATTTTTTTTTACAAAAAAATGCATCAACATCAAAATCATGTGTAGCCTCTACTGATTTAAACGGATGATTTCCTTTTTCAAGCCACATTACTTCACAAACTGTAAAAATAATTTTGATGAGACTGTAGGACATCTGGGCTACAAACACTCGACCCACAGCATCAGGCTTTCAAAGCTTCTGGTTTCTTGGCACATAAAAATCAGCTGTGGCACGAACAAAACTTTTTTTTTAATGCAATTAAAGTGATATAAATCTGGTATTTGGCTTTTTGTTGCCATTTCCGAACCTCTTTTAATGTTCTAGATCCACTAAATCAGCCAGGCACTGCCGTGGTTTATGTAATAGACCAAACTAGTCTGGTGTCTTAAGCAGGTTAATCTAAAAATGGGGCGAAAGAATTTTGTTTTTCTTCCCTTTCATACTTGCTCTCCGTTTCTTTGTAGTCCAGCCACTGCTTCTATCACAGCCTCTGAGCGATTTCAAAGGAGAGTCATATCTTCAAATGTCAAAGCTGAACAGTGACCTAATGAAATATGATTTAAAATGTATCAAAATAGCAAAGCTTTACACGTGTGACTCCCTTGGAGTCTGAATTCTATCTCCCACTGCCGGGGCTGCAGAATGGAATTTTTTCCCAGTGACAATGCCAAACACTTCTAGGTTAGGTCAGGTATGATGCAGAACAGTGGTGTCGCTTAATCCCCCCCGCATTGCCCCCCAACACAATATTTCCGTATTATAAATCAGCTGGGCCATGAACAAAGCTCAAACTGTTTGACATTCTCATTCTTCACAAATGCATTTTGTCAGGTTGGGTTTTGTGTTTGAGCGGAATGGGTAGACAAGCTAAATATCAGTACTCCGCTCCTCAGATCTCTCGGTTCCTCTTTGTCTCGATGGAAATGAACCATGGATAATGCCTGAGGTCTAATTCTTTAGTTGACCGGGTACAAGAATAGATTTAGAAGATTGTGCAGAATTTGGGGAAATTCTTAAACTCTGTTCTAATCTGGAAGCTGTATTTTTACACGTTTGTTATTCACTGCTGAAAATTTGCTTCAAAATCAAGACTGAATTTAATTATTTACCAAAATCAACAACAAAACGTTACATCTCACACCACAAATCATGCACAATGTTGAGCCTAAGAGAAATATCATTCCTAATGAATATAAAATGTCCGCGATGTGGAAACAAATCCTAGTTGAATTCCTAATTGTTTGGATTAATCACGTGAATGAGTGACTTGCTTTTTTCCACACGTATGAGAGAGGGTTTGGTCGATTACACAAAAACTGAACTGGAAATTTATCCCTGATCTATTGGAAGCCTCATTGGAGAGAAGCAAGAAGTTTGTACGTTTTGATCCCTTAATATTTCGAACACTGCCACAAACGAAAGTATGGAATTTGACGAAGCCAACAGGAAAATTCTGATCCTCATAAGAGGAACCAACAGTTGCCTAAGAACGGAGGCTTCAAGACACCAGTTCATTCGATTTGAAACACATTTTTGATATCTGTTTAAAAACAAAATCATCAGTCTGTTACTTGCACATCAAGCACACAATGAATTAGATTAATTCTTAGAAAGTTACTAATCTACTTTGTTTCTGTACTCTAGTTTATGACCAATATAATTTAGTTTTACTTATTTGAAAGTCTCATTCAGGGATTTTAAAAATAATATATTGAATGCCGTTGGTTTCAAATGGACACACGGACACACTTCACAACAAAACCCTTTGAATGAAGGATGGATTGGTATCAAAGAATAATTTATTTAAGCAGACAGGCGATACGGTGGATTAGAGCAGTGTTTTGTCTAGCCTACATTAAGGTATGAAAGTCTATCTGCCGACTAATGTTTTAAATAAAATTTGTTTCACTAGCTTTGAGTCTGGTCACTTAACCCTGTGGCTAGAAATTCCTGATGGAATAGCATTGGCCATTGTCTTAAAATGTAAGACTGAATTTGTTGAAAAATTAAAATTTGTTGAAAAATTAAAAGTTTTCAATTTGGTCTTGATATGGAAGCCATTTTTCCACACTTTTGTAAAAAAATTTATGGATGAATGTGGATTTCTGCACGATCCTAAATTTTAGGATTATGATCTTAAGGCTAAAACTATTCAAATTTTGGGCTCTGATAAGAAAAAATAAATGTTACTTAAGTGCAGCACGGGGTGGGTTGTGGGGTGGGGGGCTCACCTTCAGATCTTTGGAGTGAAGGAAGTGGAACAGAAATTTCACTTTGCATCTAATCTATGCCATACCTGATACTAGATGTAAAAAGTTTGTAAATCCCCCATTTCCCGACACTGATATTTCCCTTCAGTAGAAGATTCCACGGGACGAGACAAGGGGGGGGGGACTGGTTGCAAGGAGGTTTGCATAAACAGAAATGCTTTGTTCTTCCAGGAGTTTCCTCTTGAATACATTACGTTTGTCATTCGAACCCTGAGTGATTTCATTTTACTCTGAACCCACATGAAAGGAGCATGCTGCCGAGTTTTAACTTTGTTTGACAGCTGTTGCATGTAAAAGTTACAAAAATGACTGTACATTTTATTTGTATGTGTGCCTCTTGTTTAAGATGGCAGTAATGGTCACTGTGTATTTTTAAGTGCCTGGGTGCATTTAAAATCTGGTTGAGATTTTCTGGTTGGCTAATTTTGCAATTATCAAATTCCCGCTCTGTCCCTGGTAAATGAAACGCACTCTTTTAAATGCAGCAAACATGAGCTGTCGTTTTCAGGAGGGGAAAGAACCAGCAGAATGCGGTGGGGAGAGGAGACGGGGAAATACAAAACGAAAACAGACAATAGAAGTAAAATATAATTAAATCCACGGAAAAGAAAATGGGGTGGAGGGGGGGGGGCGAACTTATTTAAAAGCTACAGAAGTGCAGTATTTGTCGCTGCTTTAAGTGATTGGACACTAGAGAGCTTTACTTTGCAGAAGAAAAACGTAATATTTATTGCGTAACCAAATATTCCAGTGGGAGTAAATTATTTAATTTGCAGTAAACCCATATGGACCAGACCCTACTTGCTGTGGAGGTTTTTATGCTATAAAAATGTTTTGGAAAACTTAAGAAACCACTGCTGTTTACGAGCATGTGCTGTGATGCAGTTACGTGGCAGTCACCCCTTGATTGCGTTCCATTTGCGATCGGGAACAGGATATTAGTACGGATGCTCTGATCTTTCACATTGAAGGCATGTGGGAGGGAAGGGGTGGGGGGGGGGGGTGATGTTGGAAAGTTGCCATTATTGTCTGTGTTGACATTTGTGCACATTGTAGTTGATCGTAGTTGCTTAAGGGTCGTTTCTTTTTTTAAAAAGAAACTTGTGTCAAATTATTCCTGTCTTTATAGCCCTGGGAGCATGCACACTTCAGGATAGTGGGTATGGAGCTGGAAGCTTGATCTACATTTCCCGCTCCACATTGCCTCAAATCTGGGCCATAAAAAAAACAAGGCAGCACCTGATCTTCGGTTCTGCCCACACAGAGTTTTAACGAAGACTAAAACACAGTGGTCGCTTTTCAAAGCTGTTAGACTTTCGCATGTGCAGAACCAGGCTGTTCAAACTGCAGAGTTGCAGGTTGGAATCCCGATCTGGGTTAGACCTTCTCAGCCAGAGAGGTAGTGAGGCTGCAAGTGATCTTTGGGCAGCTTGGTTAGATGGAGGAAAAGCAGGTCGGGTTCCACTCCTATTCACTATTCGGATTGAAACAATATTGAGCACAGATAATGTTCTTCCCTAAAGAGCAGGAACATTGATGAGAAAACCATATGACGCATCTTCTTACAGAGCAAGTCACCCACCACCCATCCTGGCTGGGAAATGTTTGTTGAGCCTTTGAAGCCAATAGTTCATTAATCTCTTCCCGATGATTGCAAGGGTCTGATCTGTCTGACTATTTTATAAATGGCCTGGCCCCTATGTGCCAAACGGGACATTTCTCATTTTGCAACGCACTCTTCTTTTACTCCTGGAAAGCGAATTTGATGATGCTTCTCACAGGCAAGGCAAGTGGTGAAGGGTCCAGCCAGACACAGTATACATAACGCTGTGTCTACGTGCTGTGAATATAAGCTGCGAGTCCTGTTGAAGTGGGGTAACGGCCAAATATAAAACTATATGCTGATTTTGTAGGAGCTACTGAGAAAAGAATGTAGTCAGATTTTAAGACATTTTCTTGCGAGTCTCACTAGAGTTCTCAAATTCTTGTCACAAAACCCAAATGCTTGTTTTAAAAAGTCAGCTGTTTCATTATTGTTTTAGCCTTTTTTTTCCCTCTCCGCTACTCCCCCCCCCCCCCCCCCCCACCCATTCTTTCTTTGGTGATTAATGAACTATGCAACTTTTTTTCCATTCCATAATTGTATCCCTATAGTCTCCCAATATTTTTGTACAGGCCTGGCTATGAGTATTTATGAAATGAAGGTTTTCTCAGAAGGAACTGACTGTACTTTCTATTTTTTTCTTCAAAGCAGTGTTGCATAATTAATAGAATGTGGTCTCCAAACCCTTTCTCTGTCATGTGTTTACCATCTCTTGATTGTGCTGATTGCCGGATTATATAAATCCTTTTTTTTTTTTGACTGATGACAAAAAACTGGAAGGTTTCCAAACGCTTTGAAGTTTTATTTTTAGTCTTATTCGTTTAATCTGTACTCTCCGAAAATGGTTTCATATGAGCTGTCCTTTAAGCCATTGTCTAGTTGGTGGCGTGGTTCATTACTGATACACTTCGCGTGAGGAGATAGCTTAATGAGTTGATAGTCAAACCAGATTTGCGTTCTGTCTTTTGCAGGTGGACAGTGACACAGTGTGGAATGAGATGCACTCTTCTAGTTCTGTTCGGATGGCCGTTGGCTGTGTCATTGAACTTGCATTCAAGGTAGCTTCAGGCGAGCTCAAGGTGAGACTGAGAACACTCTGCCTATTTCTCAGTGGAATCCGACATCCTACTGAAAGGATCCAATTTAAAAAAAAATTCCAAATGGAATGTTTCTGACGATTTTTTAAAAAAAAACAACTTTAGGCAGGCAAACATCTGTAGCTGATTTATCGGCAAAGTCTGTTGGGATGGCGGTTGTGATACGCTCATTGGCATCTCTGCTTCTCCAGTAGATCTGGAAAAGGATGCAATAGATTAGGTTAGCTGCATGCTAGAAAATAAAAACTAGGCGAGTGTTATTCAGGGCATGCCACCTCCCCATACATGGAATGAAGCGCTTGCTTGATGTTACTAGCTTGCTATCCGCTATGACTGATTATTGGGTTGTAGTTCCATGGTTACTGGGTGTTTTCCAGTGCCTCCCCAAGTGGCCATGCTTCTTGTTTAGAGTCTAGATGGGGAGTGTTGTTAGGCTATTTGTGGGCGAGAAGCTAAAGTGTAGTTATCATGAACAGGAACAACAACAACAAATTACATTTGTATAGCGCCTTTCACGTCAGGAGGATGTCCCAAAGGAACATTACTTTGCCTTTGTCTCCTTCCTACCCCATGAGCATGGAGGCCATTGTACCAGCCTTATCTTTGCCATGACAGAGAGTGTACAAATCTAGGACCACCTGATCTGTGCGGCTTTGTACTACACCGGATGGGGCAATGTTTTTGGAGCTATTGGGAAAGCTCCACATCGCTTTTGATTCAGACGCCTTATCGACACATTTGCCAGGATTACAGAGTACGCATGTCTTTATTTTATAGGAATTACAAAACAACAACAACAGCAACTTGCATTTTTTTAAACACTGATCTGTAGGCATAAGTTGGAAGAATTACATGTTTTTTAATATTTTTGTACAGAACGGTTTTGCTGTTGTCAGACCACCGGGCCATCACGCTGAAGAATCCACCGCAATGTAAGTTCACCCTCATCATCATCCAACCCAGATCATTTCAAATAGTTTCTTCAAATGAATTATTATAGATCAACCTACTTCATTGGGGACTTATGACCGAAGTTGGCTACATTTAAGGACAACAAGCAGTTAACCAGCGTCATAAATCCACACCCACACAACTTGGCAGTATTTTTTCACTTGTAAAATATAAAGCCAATTGCTTAGGTGAATGTGGGCCCTATTGGAACTGTTTGTTTAACCATAGAATTATACAGCACAAAAGGAGGCCATTCGGCCCATCATGTCCGCCGTGCCTGCTCTTTGAAAGAACATAAGAACATAAGAATTAGGAGCAGGAATAGGCCATTCGGCCACTCGAGCCTGCCCCGCGAAAGAGCCATCCAAATTAATCCCGCTCCCCCGCTCTCTCCCCACAGCCCTGCAAATTTGTCCATTTTGGATTTAAAAAGTTGACCGAAAAAGTCACCAGTACAAAACTAATTCATGAGAGAAGTTGCTTTCAGATGAGTTTTCAATGCAAGTTTGTTGCTTATTTTTGCAAGATTATTAAATTGAGACTGTGGTCTCGGTAACAAGTTTAGTTTTGACACCTGAGCGTTTATAACTCTATATTTACTCAACATCTTTTTCCTCCACTTGCAGGGGATTCTGCTTCTTCAATTCCGTGGCAATTTCCGCTAAGCTGCTTAAACAGAAACTTAACGTCGGGAAAATTTTAATCGTGGATTGGGTACGTATTGCATTATACGCAACCTCCAAACAATCGTCAGCAAAGTTTAACGTTCAGTCCAGGTCTTCCAGTAAGTCTGGTCTGTCCACGGATCTGGGGCAATGACATTTGACATCTATTTTCACTTCACTTCAAGGCAATCAGTGACCAAATGATTTCATCTTGCTGTGTATTTAGAGCTAAATATCTAAATTCTCATAGCCGGAGGCGACGTTTCGTAATACAAGAGTGCGTGACTCGGCGTAGCTAATTAAAAGGTAATTTGTAAGAGGAGTCAGGAAATTAATAGAAAGAAGATGTTTATTTTTATGCCTTTAAAATAGATATGTTTGTTTCCATTACTTGTAGGATATTCACCATGGAAATGGTACACAGCAGGCCTTTTACAACGACTCCAATGTGCTGTACATTTCTCTGCATCGTTATGATGATGGAAACTTCTTCCCTGGTAGCGGCTCCCCAGATGAAGTGAGTTACCGCCAACTGCTATTAATTTGTTGCTTATTAACCCTTTGAATCGTGTTTCCTTTCCAGCGTTCAAAATCATTGAAGTCTTTGAAAGTTTTTTTTTATTCAGGATATAGATGAAGGTAAAGGCCCCTCTTCAGGTCACTTAGAGAGAGAAATGTTCAGCACAAAGGGAGGCAGTTCGGCCTGTTGAAAGTTTGTAACATCGATACCTGTATTACTGTGTGGCCCCTTTTATTAATCCCACTTTCTATCTCTTTTCCCCTCATCCATTGATGTTTTTAGTCAAATGTGGTTTGGACACCACTAAGCTTGTTAACTCGTGGTGGTCAGGGGATGCTAAGCTTGGATAAGATAAGATAACATAACATACTATTGTAAGCTTTAAATAATTCTTTGTAATAACAGCAATCAAAGGTGGCTATGGCACTGTAAGAAATGACCTGTTTTATGTGCCTGCGCATTCAGTTTAAGCATTGCTAGCTAACTACAGACTGAGCGAGTCCGCACGATCGCAGAGCAACTAAATATATATATAAAAATCAGTCAATTACATGTAATTATATAGTTCATTCAAAAGAAAAGTGATCTGCAAGCAAGGGCGGATTCCAGATGGTGAAGTACCTTGTTTACCTGATGCAAGCGATGTGGTGTTGCTGAGATCACGCTAGTGCTTGTTAGATTGTGCAGATATTCATAATTGTGCTGAACTCGTCCCTGTGATGGCTTCAGCGTGGCTTGGAAATTGCAGTTTAGAGGCTGCTGATTCTTGTTCTCTTGGCTCCACAAAGCCAAAGGTCTAGTACCTGGCAATGGAGTAACATTTGCCCAAGCTCCAGTTCAACAGCTTGGGCTAATAGTCATTCTATTACTTAGAGCCTACCTACCTTCATTGTTTCTTGGGGGTTGCAAATGGTGCACTGGGATTGTAGATAAGCTATATTTGAGATCTTGTTGTATGTGTCGGATACTCTGGCTTCCCCAAGTGCTCCACTGTACCATGGCTTCCGAAATAAGCAAATGTGTGCGCTATGTGTGGCCTGTATAGCGGAACACAGCACACAAGGGGACGCTAACTCGCCTCATGTATAATCTTTTGTGCTTGCAAACTTTTAATTTGAACAGGGCTGGAAGTTGCGTGAATACCTATACAAAGGATGGTTATGTTGCATTAGGGCCATGTTTACACTGCATACACAGCAGGGGAATGGGGGCACGTATTAGAGGCTTGAAAATGTTTTACTAGTGCAATTCCCAAGGGTGGGGGGGGCAAAGCCACAGGTTTCTGCAAATTATTCCATACGGTCACACTGAGGGAAAAAGAACCTGTCGACATGGTTTACGAGTGTTCTTATGAACTTGGAAAGAGAATAAAAGAAATGTTAGCGGGCCATCGATGTACTGGAAAGTTGAGTGTGCTCAAACCCACATCCAGTCTGAAATTTCAAGCAGAATTGCTGTAAATCCACAGCTGGTCAATCAGCATCGAAAAGAGGTAAAAACAGGCTAAAGTTAGGAGAATATCCATGCTTTCCTTCTCTCTCGCACTCTCCCATCACCCTTTTCTGCCATCACTCAAAGGCAAGGATTAAATGCAAGGCTTATTATTATTATTATTTATAATCATTCACTTCTTTGTCTTACTCCAAACTGCAGCAGTGATTAAAAAAAAAGACATATTTAAACAAAAGAAATGAATTCCCTGTGAATTTGGTTTTTTTTTAAACGTTTGTTCGGGGGCGTTTTAATTTAGCTTGATGTCTTTCTGTGTTAAGGTTGGAACAGGGCCTGGCGTAGGCTTCAACGTCAACATAGCTTGGACAGGTGGTGTGGATCCCCCTAATGGAGACGTGGAGTATTTTACAGCTTTCAGGTGAGTTTTTATTAGCCTGTGCTTACAGTCGGAAAACTGCTCCCGTTTTGCAGTGAAATTAGAAAAACAGCATGCACCTGACTTTGCATTTCTTCCGCCACCTCCACGCTTTCCTCCTTGGCCTATTCATAGCTCTCAGTTTGAAACAACCTTGCGGTAAAATAAATAATGCAATTAAAACAAGAGACAGATTCATTAAGCGTTGTGCACATACACACACACAAGAAAAGTTTAATTTCAAAGCCCGAGGATTAAATATTGATTGATTGCTGCAATTAAGATATTTTTTCTCAACCTTGTAATTATTTTACTTTCAGTGAAATCAGACTTTAGGATATTGCTCCAGGTGTTTCATCTGCATCTAATTAGCAGTGGAGCAATTCTATTAACTGGAGGAGCTGGCTGGGGTTGTTAGTAGTATAGACTGTGAATTTGACGTAATCTCAAAACACAAAGATAGGCATAAGTCAGAAGCAGGTAACTTTCTTAAAAAAAACTCTTTGATTTGTTAAATATATATATATATCAGTTAATTATGTGTAACTATATAGTTCATTCAGAAGAAAAGGATTTTTTTAGGAGGGAAAATGTGTTCAAGTAAAGCAGCGTATTTAGGGTAGGGTGGGGGGGCATTCAGGAAGTGGTAGAGACCCCCAGGCATGGTAACACTAAACAGACTTGAAGTCAAATTTCCCTGCTTGCATGCTATAGGGTCAGGCGAGAGTTGGATCAGATAATTGAATATAATGGAATCCAGAAGGCTACCCTTTTTCCTTTTTGCATACCCAGCATATCACAAATTTTGTAGACGTAGGTCCATTCTTACACTTGTGTAGTTCCAGCTGCTGTCTTAGAGGCCATCGTTGTTTGATGTTAGAAAATTATCCCAGAGCTGCATTCAATCAGCCAACTTCAGCTGAGTCTTACTGACTTTAAAGGCCATATGTCTTCTATTTTCTTGTTTGCAAACAAAAAAGAGGGAAAAAAAACTGGTGTGAGCGCCGCTGCAGTTACAGCAGCACCTTTAATAATAGTAAGGATGATGGCGGACAAATTGAGTTGGGTTGCAGTTTTGCAACGGGACGTAATTTTAAACAGACTCGACGTGAAAGGCAAGCTTTGCCCGAACCGTACCGTTTCGAAGAGCCCTCCTTTCAAGGCCGTTCAAAGGGTTTTGTTGCGTCACTCAAACGGCTCCCGTTTACTCCACTAATAAAAACCTTTCCCCTTCACGGAGTGTGCTCCTTGTGTTTGTCAACAGCAGCAGAGTCAAAGAGGTCACCAAAGACTTTGTGTTGTCCTTGGTTGACAGCTGTACACGGGTCAACTGAGCAGGACATGTTTCCTCTGGGGCTGCCCTGGAGCTGTGTTTGATTCTAGCGGCAAGAAGGGGATGGTTACACCTCCTTGAACCCATTTCCCTTTGCAGGCACATATTTATCTTTTTATGATTCCCTTTCTCATCCCTCCCTCCCTCCCTCCCTCCATATTTGATCATTATATACAGTTTGGGTTTCGAATCTAAGGACTGAATGGATAGTTCTTCTCTCCTCCCACCCCTCCTCTCCAAAAATGAAATCTCCTCTGCTCCCCACAAAGTGGAGACTTATGTTGCTAGCAGTCCTGGTGCCTTTACTGAGTGGCTGTTCTTTATTTGCAAGATTTGACATTGACAGCAGCAATCAGGAATAAGAGTCCTGACCGTTTCCTCCTTTACCCCCTCTCATCTCTTCAGTTAGCTCAGGAACACTGAGGCCAAGTGTAGTGGTCACTGCTATGGCCAATATCAATTAACTCAGCAAAGCCCAGGGATTGAACTAAGGACCTTCATGTGCTATACTAATCATCCCATGCTATGTCGTGCACAGCCCTTTTTTTTTTGCCTTTGGTCAGCTGAGAGTAAAAGTATTCACTTAAACCACAGGTTCAAAGGGATACTGGAGAGGAGGGGGGGGGGGAGTCTTTGGAAAAGAGTGCTCAGAACTGCATGTGCTCTCTATATGCCACGGTGCCCTCATTCAATTGATGATAAAATGCTGCTGGGCTGAAGTTTACACTGTCTGAGCATGTGTTATTTGTTAGTCGAGAGTCGCTTAAATGTGAGCAGTAGCCACCTACTGTTCAACCGTTTCATGGGCACAAACTGATACTAATGTTTAAGCAAACTGTTTCCTGAATGTCAGCAAACGAGACAGTGTTCCTTTTGTAGGCTTCTACAGACTGAATTTGAAAAGCAGTTTAAAAGCCCACCCTCTACCCAACACAATGTGTTAGTGCGCAAAACACTAAGTAAGTAAGTAAACGATGGAAAATGGGTTCCAGCCAGATCGATCTGAAACCTAAGTGCAGGAATTCCTGCTCCACTTTTAAAATGGTTAAAGATTCTAACTAAAGGCTGCTGTAAAGGCAGCATCAATCTGTAACTAAACATCGTTCAATATTGTTCTTTCAGGACTGTGGTGATCCCAATAGCCAACGAGTTCTCTCCCGATGTTATCCTGGTCTCCGCCGGCTTCGATGCTGTAGAAGGACACCCCTCACCACTTGGTGGATACTCAGTGACAGCCAAGTGTAAGTTGTAACACCATCAATTGCATCGTGGAAATTCCTCTCTGCATTTTACCATTTCACTTCTGTAGCCCTTAAAAGCTGTGTTGGTGGTGTGGGGTGTTTGTGGAGTGGTGGTAGGGATAAGTGTGGAATACATTAGACTCCTAAAGTGCTGAGTCCCAACTCTTTCTAAACTTATCGTTCAATTGGCCTTCAGCTCCTAAATAGCTCTTACAGCTTTAAGCCTGGGTGCAATTTCCCTAATGTATCTTCCATTGTACATCTAAAACATCTTACAGCTGAAGACAAAATCAGTTACTACTTTAAAGAATAATCAAAACAATAAAAGTATGTTTAGTATCGGATGCAGTCTTACTCCATAAATAAGTCATTCCGTCATCTTCTTACCTCTTAATTGTGTAACCCCATTGCAAAATTACTTGTGTGAATTACAGAATATTTCAGTCGAACTATTCCTGGAAATGAGAAAATATAACTAAATGCCTCCTGAACATGTGGTTTAGACTGTGTGCAAAGTGAAGGCTATGTATAAGTGCAAGGGAAACAATGTGAAATTCATTACAACTAAACAGAATGTCTTTACTTCTGCCCTTTCTTGAGTGATGCCTTGAATGTATTCAGTCTTTTTGTCAGCAGAATAGAAGGCAGCACGTCGGTGCTGCATTGTGTCCCTTCTCTTCTTTTCCATCCTCTTTCCCCACACCCCCACCCCCAATCAGAAAAGCTATGGTCCACCTGCACATCCCCACAGAGACCATTTAACTCACCTTCAAAGCATCACCTTGCCTATTTATGCCGCTCTGCTGTCTGAGGTAGTGCTACAAGCTGTGCGGACCCTAGGTAGCATGCCACGATACTTAAGACTTTGCAGGACGGTGGCTCTTTCATTCATCCCCTGCAGGCAACAGCAACAGAAAGGCCTCGTGCATATTAATAAAACTCTGTTCGTTTTATATCAGCTCCTGTTGAGCAAGGTTAATACATACATTATGAGGGGAGAGGAGGTTTTTGTTAAGTAGCTCATTCGAAAAAGGTAATATATTGTGTTGCATTTTACTTTTCATTGCCTTTGATCAAATTATGCAAGAAGAAAGGTTCAAAGGAAGTATTTTAGTATTACCTGTGAAGTGCTCTCAAAGTTACATAAATCATTATCACAACCATTTAAATCCTGTTTTAAGGCATCCTGCTGTACAGTCTGTTTCCTCTTGTTCTTCGCTGTGCAACAGAAAGCGAAGTTTCGTTTGCACTTTCCCTTTGAAACTTTGTTTCAGTCAAACTTTGTACTGAACCCTGCATGTTTTATGCGGGCAAATTGGATGGTAAATCACAGCCCCTTGACCTATGTTGAATAGCTTTATTCTTTTATCTCGTTATATCAGCATGAAGTGAAGAACTCATGCTGAGTTTAGGCTATTCCTCCCGTTGGGCGTGTGCAGTAGACATGTCTCTGGACAGACACATGTCAGGGATTTGAACCCCTTTGCTTGCCCCCTCTCTCCCCACTTTCAAATCCCACCTAAAGACCTTCCTTTTTGATCGTGCTTACGCTCACCTCCCCCCCGCACCCCCGCTCGGTGTCAGACTCCGCCACTATCAAGTGCTCCAGGATATTACCCTGCGTGAAGGGCCCTATATAAATGCAAGCTGTTGTTGTATTGTATATCCTCGCAAGCAAAGATTTGTGCAACTAAATACATTTTCACCGTTTACTCTCTCCATGCAAGAATAAATTATGTGACTTGCTATAAAATCGAAATTTTCAATTAAAATCATTGCCATTTAACGTTTAAATTCCCTGTTGAACGAGGGTGAGACCTTAACTGACAATTTTTTTTAAAAAAAACTCTGCAATCAGAAACTAATTTTCTTACTTGCAAAGTGGTAATGAACAAGAATTAGAAAATTTGTATTGAACACACGTTCTCAGTTTATTTTTGGAGGAAATGCTTGTTTGACATTAAGTGGACAATAAACATTGACCGAAACTGACTCACGCTTGTTAGGTGAGATTGCCAAGTGTTTGGATGACTATGATACAGTTTCCTCATTTGTTGTCAGTAAATATTGCCCACGAATGGGTTCTACTGTTACACAAACCTGACTTTTGTAAGCCACATGTGTTGTAAAATTTGTTGCAATTACCTCTGTTTGAAGCTGGAAAAAAACAAATATTTAAAAAAAAGTGAAGGCCTTATTTCGACACCCCATGCATCTGCCAGTTCGAATTACAGGTCGTTAAGTTATAATAGCTGTCACATTTGATCAAGCGCCTTATCACGTCATCGTCAACGTTTCTAAGCTCTTCACAGGATTTTGCTGTAAAGTGTAGCGGACTGTGCATTTGTAGGCGAAGGATTAAAACCATCTTGCTTTTTAAATGCCCCATATTTACTTTTGAACGTTAAAAAAATCTTAGAACGACAGTGACTATTGCGAACTATATTTTACAGTCCCCTAATTAAATTCACGGGCATGATTTTGCTTAATGATAGGTTGCGTTTCCCAGTTTCCCACGGACCATTTGCAAAATGCAATCTGCAGGAGGTGGGCGGGTTTTCGAGAGTACAAAGTATTGCCTAATGTTTATCTGTGTTTGTATGTAGAGGGTATAAAGCCGTGTGTTTCTGTGCCCCAGGTTTTGGCTACCTGACCCAACAGCTGATGAAGCTTGCTGGAGGACGTGTGCTGCTTGCTTTGGAAGGAGGACATGATCTCACTGCCATCTGCGATGCATCCGAGGCCTGTGTTTCAGCCCTGCTGGGTAATGAGGTATGCAGTGCAGTCTAGCTGAAATCAAAACCAGATCACGCCATAAACATGCCCCTTTGACTTAACTGGCATGGGCGCTAAATTGACAGCCCTTCTCTCGCCCCCTCCTCTCTCTCTCCTCCCCACCCCCACTCCCCCCCCTCTCCCACCCATTGATAGAGATGAAACATCCTTTTTCTTTATTTTCAAAAAAAGGTATATTGTGATTTTTTTAAACAAGTAATTCAGGAGTTTGGTATTTAGGTTATTTGAGATTTTTTTTGTCGCTGTTATTTATAGAATGTGTGTTTTTAACGGTCGTTTGATATAAAAAATGGAAATGCCATAAATCGTTGATTTAATACACTAATAAAGGTATTACATCTAAGTAATTGATCAGCGCAACTCGTCATGACTGAATAATCTTCATCTTTTTCTTTACCAAGCTATGTTTAACAACTTAAAAGATATCAAACAAGAAAATGGGCAGATTAGGAGCAGTATTTTGACGTAGAGTGGTTAGGATATGGAATGCTAATGGAGGAGGCAGAATCCTTTATGAGCATTCAAAAGAGAACTAAATGGCTATCTCAAAATGAATAAACTACAGGGGTATGGGGATAGGGCAGGTAGTGGGACTAAAATGAAAAGAGTGTAAAAGAGAGCACATAAACGATGGGCCCGAATGGCTGCCTTTTGTGCTGTAAATTTATGTTTCTATGTACAAAAAAAAGTTTGCATTGCAGTTCGGACTTTACAAAAGGGACTCAATATCAAACAGTAAGTGTGTTACAAATTCAGAGAGTGAGGGAGCAGAGTTTGGAATTTTAAACTAAGAAGAGAATAAAAGATTTACACTTTCCAACATATAACTTAGCAAGGATATGATTTCAAAATTCAAAGCATCAATTTAGGTTTGTTTTTGTTTGAAGCATTGCAATGCATTATTATTCATCATTTCAAATCTCTCTTCACCCCCTCCCAAGCTCGATCCACTTCCTCAAGAAATACTTCAACAAAAGCCCAATGAAAATGCCATTGCATCTCTGGAGAAAGTCATTGAAATTCAGAGTAAGTTGTTCCCCTGCTTTGACTTGTCATTTGTCTCTCCACTTGCACTTGAATACCTTGTTACTTTATGCAGTACTTGAGTACCTTATCACGTTGCGTCGGGTTTGAGTTTATAAGACTGCCGCAGTCACGCTGGCAAGTTATTTGTTGGATTTAATTCTTTTCAAATACTTTCAATCACAAAATTATCGTTGCTGTACATTTTGAATAAAATTCCCAAAGTGCTGTGTTTAGAATCCCACCCTGTGATTTTCCTGCCCTGTTGCTGAATAGCCAGCAGCGGCGGATTTGTCTCTTTGCGTAACTTAGCGGATTGTTTTCAGTGTGATCGATCGCTCCCCTCGTAATGGTAGCAGAACCGGGATTAAAAAGCTGAGACCGAAGTCACCTGATATTCTGGTCCAGCAGGAATACCACTCCAGGTCCTTCAGACAGCAATCAGACAGGGTGCGCGGGGCTGTGAAGGGCACAGGACACGAGCACTCTAGGAAACACAATGCAGTACCAGCACCATTATGTCGCAGTCACTCACAATGTAGCCACGGACCCAATTATAAACCCAGTATTGGCTGGAACACAGCACACATACATGCGCACACACCTACATACACACACACACACAACACACACAGAGTCCAAGCTTTATTGGTAGGAACGTAATATGAATGAATGCACAAATGTTCCAATTGCATTGAAACTTGCATGTGAATTATACTGCATCTGACGTACTGCATGTTTGTTCTGAGATCCTGCCATTGTGGGATGCATCTATTTTGCACATACAACACCAGCCATAATGCAGGAAGGATTCTGCACGTGCAAGCGGAAATCGTTGAAAGTTATGTTCAGTTCTGTTCTGCCGTCAAGATTCCCGTAAGATAGTAGGAAATTTCCGCACAGGCTCGTGTTGCGGGAACTGGAAGTGTCTGCTTACACTGCGCAGAGCTGCCTCACAGCAGGCAGCACCTGCGGAGGTGAGCATCTGCGAAACTGGCTGCGTGAGCCTCTGTACCCTCTCATTTACCTTGTGCAGCTGGCAGCAAAGTCAGAGCTGCAACAGCAAAATAGACGTAGCATTAATTGCCTTTTTCCGCTGTGACAAGTGCGCGGTGGTTACTGTTATTGTATAATTATCGAGCAGAGCACATTTGTCATCTTTTGCATTCTGCTTATGGCATTAATAGGCGCTTGCGTTGTAATTACCTGATTATTAAATGCGTGTTTTGTGTTGCTTTTGAGGAGAACGGTGCCATTTGATTAAAATTGCTGTTGAGCAGCTATCATTGGCTGTGTGTGTGTGTTCGCTTGCAGGCAAACACTGGAGCTCAGTGAAGCGCTATTCTTCCACCGTCGGCTACTCACTCCTCGAGGCCAGAACACGTGAAAAGGAAGAAACGGAGACTGTTACGGCTCTGGCCTCCCTGTCGGTGGACACGGAGCAGACCAATCCAGAGCCAGAGACCAGGTAACCATCCTCGTGCTGTTTACATTAATAAATAAAAATAAAAGTCATTGGAATGTCTGAGCTTTGCGTTCCTTGAACGGTGGTTTTTCTATCCAGGAGACCAATTATATCGGGATCTGGCACTGGGGAATCTCTGAATTGTCAGACGTGTGGATGAGACTTTGAAGGGCATGATAGAACCCACAACAGCATTTGAAAGGATAAGGGAATTTCTCCTGGTATCCTGATCAACGATTGTCTAGGTGGCCTAACTTGCCATCTTGTGTGACTATTCTAAGAAAGCGTAATACGGACCACAAGTTGGCCTCCCCTGATTTAGATGAATCAGTCATTTATCTCGTGGCTGTTTGTGAGCACTCAGTTGCTTACAAATGCAGAATTCTTACGATTGACAGTAATTGCCCACAAAAGCTCTTTGAGGTGTTTCCACGCCAAAAGTTGCCAAAAAGATGCCAGTTTATTATCCTCCCGTATGAAAGCGCATGTATCATTCGTCATAGTGTAAACCTGCACACAAAGGCATTTTACAGATGTCCTTAATTACGTAATTGATGAGTGATGAAAAGGACTTATTAATTATATTAAGTAATCGTTTTTTATGGGTTGTTAATTACTTCATTCAAGGCATCTGTAATTGCCTTTTTTACACATGGCACAAATGCAAAGTGCATAATAGACCCATTGCCTAATTAGACCCAATGCCACTCATTATTCCTCCCCCCCCCCCCCCCCCCCCCCACCTTCCCCCACTTTTCCCAGTTGAAGTTGGGGTAATTAATGGAGAGAGGCCTGGCTCAATTTAATCAAAGAAAATTTAATTTCATTCTTTAATTAAAGAATTAAAGAATGTGTTCATTCTTATTTGGACTAGAAATTACAATTAAATGTGACCAGTTCCTTCACGCTTAGATGCACATAAATACACCAGCGTTTCAAAGGGTAACGAGAGGGGGAAATACTTTTGTAGTTTGTACCAGTTGGGACTTAACAGGCAGCTGGGATGGATTGACTTTGAAGCATAACGTTTCTTAATATCTGCTGACATTGCTCAACACTTCCATGGTATAAATAGCGCAACTCATCAATGCTCCACATGCGATAGAGTTCCAATGGTCCCGACCTCTTAACACAAGAACGATAAAACTGCAAGTGTATTGCGTCCAGGTGAACCTGTGAGCTGCGTATCACAGTAGCCCTCACATTAGCCTCTGTTAATACAACTGCTCACCCGAATGCATTCCACTAGTGTAGTTCTATCCTTCAATGTTTCCCTCCAATGTTATCAGTTTTGCTGGTATTGATGTGATTTTATTTTGTTTTTAAAATCTCGATCCTTTTTATTGATTTTTTTTCGTCTGAAACCTTCAGACTTTCTGGCCCAAGCGATTTCCTGCAAAAAAAAAAAAAATCCTCGCCGTGTTTGCGAGCCTCGGGAGAGTTGGTTCCTCTGTGATTTTTGCAGCTTCATGCGGAGGCAGCATCTGGTGAAATCCACAGCGTTTCCTCTAGTCTCCTCACCAGCACACCCATCAAAAAAAATGCTTGGATAACCGTGACAAAATAAAAAAGACTTTTATCAACCAGTTGAAAGCAAAGTGCGGGCCAAGGCAGCAATGAATTTTCACGCACAGTACATGTTCCGTTTTTTAATTTCCCCTCTTTCAAACCCTAAAACATTTCGCCCACAAAATCTACGCTCAATTCACTTTACAGTATATCTGTGAAGCATTTTGAGACGTCTCAAATACCCGATCAGGCGCTATATCAAATGCAAGGATTATTGTTGTTATAAGAGTCGTAATGTGCCAGCCTGGTAAATCTTCATATTCAAAGGCATCTGAATCTCCGCTGGTCTGTATGAGCGGCCAAACCTACTGTCATTTCACAAAGCGAGTTCATATGTTCTTTTTCTCTGCTTTTTTAGGCAGGGGGATGAACCCATGGAGGAAGAACCAGCAATGTAAAGTGCCACTGGTCATGTTACTGTCACCTATGTGAATCTTTCTTGTAACCCCCTTTAAAGTCTATCAGACATACAGTGTCCGTTGTCTGCCTCTGACAGTGTTATTGCATTGAACTTGAACTCTGTGAACAACATCTCGTCTTCAAGCTAGCTTCACTAGCCAACCTGTCTGTATTTGAAGACCTGGAATTGGACGAGTTTAAAGGGACACCACAGCTTTGTATTTCTTCAAAGTTCGTCTGTTCTCCCTTAAGGGGGAGAAAAATGTTTTAAAGGTTACAAAACACTCGAGGCTTTGATTTCATATCCCGAGCCTAAGCGCAATGGTAAGATGTGAGTCTTTGAAATGCTTATGAGAGTTGATAAGTCTGCTTCCTAGAGGATGTTGAAAAGCAGGAGGAAAAAATGTTGTGGAGAGGAAGCAGCATAATAATTTTGTCAGGAGATTTGAAAGGAAATTTGTGCCTTGTTTTAAAAAAGTGGTTGGAACTCACAACTTCATTTTTAAATGCCTTAATTTACATTACTGAAATATTGCTGTTTTTTGGAACATAGTCGGAAATGACATGACCATCCAATTGACAACCCCTCAACTACTTTTAATCACAGTTATGATGAACAACACACACCCCCACTCCCCAATCTCTGTATAAAGGGTTTGGTTTTGGTTTATTTATTTCTTTTCTTTTGTAATATTTCGTAAAATGTTTATTTGTGTAATTTGCCATGACCAATCGTTACCTTGGCGAATTTTCGTTTGTGTTTTCTTCTGTAAATATCCTCTCCCTAATATGGTCTTGTATATTCTTTGAGCTTCTCCAGTTGCTATTTGAACAAAGCCTAAACTTCGGTTCTCCCCTTTGTTTCCCTTATTTACCTTTAGAAAGCTTTAACGTTTAAAAAGAGAGGTTAACTCGATATAATTTTCATAGAATTTTATGGTTTATAAAATCTGAAGATTATTTTTGTCTTTCTTTTCTACTTGAGACACAACCTGTTTAAAGGGGTTTGGTATCTCTGCTGGGTGGGATGGTGCACTATTGGACAGTGGTTCATTTGGCAAGGTCTATCTTTGGCATATTTTTCTGCTGAACTTCTTACGAGGTTCTTTTCACCATTCTCATTCTTAAAGGTGGTCTTTAATTTGAGCCCCTGGTGCTGATGTACACCTCCACTTAATGCCTTCTGCAGCTAGAAAGCAAACTAAGCTTAACAGCGCTGGTAAGAACAGTTGAATTCAGACGCCATATTGAAGCGAGACTGCGTTCATAATGATGAGCGCTTTTCGTGTGACTGAATGAAGCATTATATATAGTAAGCGATGTACAAATTCTTGCTTTTCAAAGGCTTACAGAGGACAGGTCAGAAAGCAGGTGAACAGTGCGATGGATAGTGGACGGTGAAGGAGGGGTGGGGAGAGAGGAAGAGTTTACTGAACTATTTATGATGCTGTACTCAGTAAACTTTAAAGAAGGCTGAGGATGTATGAAAGGAAAAGGGCAGAACTTTTACGACCTTGGTAAATAATTCAAAAACCTTTCTAATATCAAACAGCTGGCCAAGAAAACCAAGTTGTGGGCCCTGCTTAAAAAGAATAAAAGTAGTTTTATAAATTGAGTTTGCTCAACAAAAGTAACTATTTACTAATGCACAAGTTATTAGACAACTGAGCTTTGTAGTTGCACCCAGTAGAAAAATAGTTGTGATATTTAGATAAGAACCAGCTGGGATAACCGTGACCGACACACGGACACACTAACGTTTGTGGATTTGGGTCCCGTTAAACTGGCATTCACACAAGTAGAAGGTGCCATCAAACAGAGAGAAGTTTAAACGACCGATTGGGCCTGTATTGTACACAATGAGAGTTGTGATTAGTAGACAGATGGCTATGGGATTGATTCAGTGAATCTGTAAATGTCTTCGAAGTGAAAGGCTGGCCCTCTCAATACAGGTTAACTAATGATTTGCTGCCGCGCTTTGGTTGTGCCTCAGAAGGTGATACAAGTGCAGTCCATGCATTTCACAACAGTAAATGAAGCTTTACTTGCCATCTGCTACACATTGGCGTGAATTTTGTAAAATTGTGATTTTATTGGTTTCGTTTCACGCAAAGCAGCTTGGTATTGATGTATTTTAGTAAAAACAAAATATATTTTACATTTCTGGCTTAAAATAAAGGCATACAATATAAATATTGTATATATAGAATATATTGTTTAAACACATAGTTTTGCTGCTGTTTTGGGTGGATAAATATTATAACTTTTTCAATAATCACTCTGAGTGGATTTAGTAATGTTAACATAGCACGCTGGAACAAACCCGTTTAAGATTCCAGTTTTTAACAGTTGCAAAAGACATTCCTCTTTCCTTTTCTCTGTTTTAGCTGAATCCGTTTTCATTCCTTTATTTATGAAGTGATGGAAAGTTTTTACGAGACATTGCTTTGACTTTTCGGGTCCACTGGCTGGGCTTTTCTGACCACGAGAATGCAGCAGCATTAACCTCGAAGCTGTCGAGGTGAACGGAGCGATTTCATTTTCCTAGGATTCCTTGGATGATTGCAATAGGGATTTCTCAGTGACCTTATGAAAGTACAAGATTGGGGGTGAAGATGGAGGAGTTTAAATTATTTTGCTCGGAATCATAATGTTTGTACAATAAATTGTGCCGTTGCATTGTTTTGAATACAGTTTTAGAGTCGAGGCTGATACGTATGCAAGTGGGGGGAACGGGATTGTATTTTAAAACAGTGAAGCTGGCTTTCCTGTACAAATATTGACTATTTTTTTTCCCAATGTGTGCCTAGTGTCTGAAAAATGTTTCTTCCGGGGCCAGCCCTACGGATCTTATGGTGGTTTAAATACACAGCGATAGATACACAGCGACAGATCATTTTTTTGGGTTCCATCAAACGCCCTCGATAGAAGAATCCACTGTAAAGTAAATCAGTGAGAAGCCCATTCCGACGAATGTTATCCGATTCATTGCAAACTTTATTTTTTCAAAACGGGAGATTTGCAGTGATGGTCTCTCCCTTTAGGATTCTCTACAGGTGTAAAAATTGCTCTGCCAAAATTCGTTCCTTGTGCTAGACTTTTCACTGAGGTATAACGTGACGTGCAAACATACTAAACGGACGCCTCTGTTGGAGAAGCAACGAAGCAAGTCTTGATGACCGATTGCATCTCACTGTACTGAATTACAGCAAAGTGCAGAACAGATTTGATGTGTGATATAAAATTTTTACTGTGTTGCTGTAACCTTTCACCAATACAGTCTTAGTAACCATAATTGACTATGGAACAATTTTTCCTGTTGATTTTATTCTGCCTTGCTATATATCTGTTCCTATGAGGTTAAAAAGAAGCCTTTATCTATCTATCTAACTACTGGAGGATGGATGTATCGATGTGGTAAAACTGTCTGTCAATAGCCATTTCCTTGCTGTATTGGCAACAATCTTATCTGAATTTATTTTCAAATGTATAACTACAGGAGTTGTCAAAACTGCATTTAAACCACATTTTATTGTTTTTGTATCCATTGACACGCAGTGTCACGAATAGAATTGTATCAATAAGTTAAATGTCTGTATTTAGGTGATGTGCTAAGTGTGTGTAAAGTGGTTTATTAACAGTATTGTGTTGTAGCAATAGTTTATAATTTTTTTGTCACATTCAAACTGATGTAAATCTCAAAAACATGTTCCTTCTCCCCCTCTCACTCCATCTTCTATTTCTGTATCGTTTGAAGTCCAGTATTTTGTATCATGTTATAACATGTGTTTGTGTAAATAAAATAATTTGTTTCTGGCAAAAAGATAAACACTTGGGTTTCCAATTGCTGTTTATAAGTCAACATAAACCACGCTCAGTAAAATTTGACATCCTCATAGGGGAAAGGAAGAGTCATTGCTCAATAAAAACTTTTGTCCAGTGCCATTTGCTTTAAACGCTCACTAGTTTGTGCTGTCAGGAAAAGGGGGTTAAAAGTATAGAGATTTGTGACCAGCTGTTCAATCTATAAACAGATTTATTAATAATTGTGGGTTGTTAACTCTTAATTATTAAATTATTAATTTGGTAACGAAAAGTTGTGCGTTCGGCAGGAAAATTATTTTTGTTACACGCCAAATAAAGTACAAAAGGACATTACATATGTTCACAATATGCTATTAAAATAATAGAAGATGTTTTCTCTCTTAAAAAAAAATGTTACAGACTTGTGTATTTTTCCAAGACAATTTGGGGGAGTTTTTCAAACTCGGTCAAAGAAAAGCATAACGTAAGATTCCAGATTTATTCGGATTAAGTGTTCTAAAAAGGTAAAATAGAAAAAAATTGCACTTTTGTAGCACCTTATCAGAGCAGAACATCCCCCTAAGTGCGTCACGGATAACAACGAGCAAGTGTAGTGACTGTTTTGCAGGGCAAGCATTGTTTTTGCTAGAAAGCGTTTATTGCGATGATCAAATGGTATTGTTTCATCCGCTGCAGGGAAAACATTAACTATTGGAATTTGTCAGAAGAAAGAACTTAACTGAAAAAACACATTCAGCTTTTATTTTTTTAACTTAAAAATAAAGTCTTACCTGTGCAGAGTGTCGATCCTAAAGATTTCAGGTGGAAAGCTGTCTTTTCCACTCAGCCGCAGTCACTAAGGAGCGCAATAAATGAGCAGCCGAGAGGAAAAGCAGTCCATATCTTTCTCATTCCTAGACAGAAATTAAATTTCCCCCCTCAAACCCAGCCGAACTTTTAAACCTTTCCTTCTCCCAGGTAAATGTATTCGAATCTATACGCTTTCATGTTACCAAGAACAATCTTGCTTTGAAAACGTTTGCTCCACCGTACTAATCTTTTAATGATTCATAGAAGTACGAGTATATTACTTACAGAGCAAGTATGTTAATAATTAGGGGCAGCAGATGAGCTCCCCCACCAAGCAATTTTCTAATACCGATTTTCAGAATGTACGGAGCTCAGTGCTATCACGCATCACTGCCAACATCAAATAAGCTGGTTGCACTGCGGTGAATCGGTACTGCTGATGTCCGAATCCATACTCTTTGTTCCGCTTCCAAAAACTAATGCTCAACTATTGAACAACACAAAGCAAAGGTCGTGCCGTTTGTAAGCGAGAGGACTGAAATGCCACCTAGCCTCAGACTATTTTACCTTAAAATTTAGCACGGCGCAGAATTGTGCAGCGAACTTGAGTTCTCTTAATACCGGGGGAAGTCACGGGTGAGTCTGAGCCCTTTCCGCTCGTCCTGTGACCACATCGTGAACTGGTGTGCTCAGTACTGAGCTGGTTTTGAAGCATGGTACATATTTTCACTGAACATCACTCACTGTCATGATCTGACAGTTCAAATTGACAAAGCCCTTTGGCATATGCTGAGCTCCCAAGTTGGCCCCAAGTTCCTCAACATGAAAGTCCACGGAGTTTTCCCAAACTCAAGTTGGTGTCCTTCATTTGTGAATTTGGAAAGAGCGAGAAACTGCGTGAAATTACATACTCGGGGTACGGTCTGCGATTCAGCTTTCACGTACGAAAACCCTGCCACTTCCAGGCCTGTTCTTCCTCCGAATGGGAGCTCGGAGTGGAACGCTTTACTTGGGTTGTACGTACCGGATTTCCTCATGGACGTGAGCGTGCGTTCACTGCTGCCTGGCGCGCTGTCTGGAGTCTGGCTTAGAATGAGCCCAAGCGGGTACGCACTGTGGGTGTGGAAGGGTTGCTAACCTCTGTGCGCGCGTGTGTGTGTGTGTGTGTAGAGGGGGTACAATTTTAGCAGCAGGGACTAACAGGTAATAATAATATGAAGCTGGCCTATAAGAGTATCTGACTCCCTGTTCAGCTTATGAAATAGCTTGGCCGTGTTCGACGGCAACACTTACTTGCACAGGGACAACCGAAAGTCAGGACCTGCAACAAGTTTGATTCTTTTTTTTTTTGAAAACATTTTAAATATTTTTTTAAATAACAAATTGCCCAGCACAACGTGCGGTTTGTGGAACTCTTAATTTAAGAGTTGATTTTTAGTTTTTTTAAAAAAAATTGAGGCTATTTTTGGTTGCAGTGGAGCAGGGCACGAAAATGGTTGGTTTTATTCTCCCCTCACTGGGAAATGATGTGTGTGTGTGTGTGCGCCTGGGGGGGGCTGGTATCCATTAGATTTCTCTATGTGCAGCATATCTACAGTTGTGCTTGCATTAATGAGGAGTGTGGGCAGAACTTTGGCATAGCATAATGTGCAATCAGGTTATGTTCCTGAGCAGTGCAGTGAGCTGATGGATGAGATAGGGGAATAGCACTTGTGCAATGCTTTTGACCTGCCTTTAAAGCTAGAATAATCCCAGGAGGAAGAGAAGTGGGAATTTGTGATGTGGAAAGCCGAAAGAAGTTGAGCCTCGAATAAAAGGAGTCCTATTTTAGCATCCGAGTGAGTGAGTGAGTGCCTTTACTTAAGAAAATCAACTCATAGTCGAAGAAACAATACTTTGCAGCGGGTTGGTAGGTAGGAAGGAGAGGCGAGACTTCAACACAGCACCAAGGAACTAACTGCACATGGGTTTAGAAGAGAGATAGAAGAGAGATAGGAATTGTTTAGATTAAAAGTTATCTGCGGTTAACAACATTGGTTAGTCTGGAGCACTTGGTCCATACAGAAAGTGCAGATTCGATCCCTCGGTCTGTGCTAAATTTGTTGAACTCAACCAAGTCTGTTCGAGATCACACAATTCACTTTTTCCCCCAGGGCAAGGAGTGGGGGGAGAAGGGGGGCGGAAATCAATCATTGTTCTGCACCAGGGGCCTCAAATTCCACCTGGTCTTAGCCTCTTAAGTCTCTTTGGATTAAACTTTAAGATAAGTGTAAAGCTCTCAAACCGTTTCTTAATTTGGTAGCTGTGTATTGTTTTATTTCTTACGAACCGCGGAGAAACGGATTCCAAATAAAGAATGGATTTGAGACGTGTCGCCGTATGTCTATTGCATCTTAAGATACGTTAAGATAAAATGGTCTCGCGGGCTTACGTCCTGGGGGGTGGGCGGTGGAGTAGGGGCTTTTGATCAGCAGCCAGTGCTCCAGCTGTGAGGTGTGCATTTTGTGGGTGTTGGATGAGAACAGGAGACTCTCGCTAACTCGACCCACCCATGTGAATAACGGCTCCTCGGGGTGAGTTAAGCGAGAGAGTGACCAATGCCTGCGGAATCCTTCCCCAACGAGGAATCGGTGGTTTTGGTAGATGAGGAGGGGCGAAATTTGGCAGCCGCAAGAAAGAGCAGTTAACATCTGAAAAATGTTAGGAGCCCCGAGATTTATGATCAAAACATGTGAAGCGGATTGCAACAGAGCCGTTTAAATACATCGAGGCTGTGCTTCATTTTACAAAGCGAATGTGTGTAGCGAGAGAGAGCGATAGAGAGAGAGAGAAAAAAAAAAGTTGCGTTCCGATCCAAGATTTGAGTTCGCTCGCCTCGCTCCCAGATGAGGATGAATTGGCAGCGTTGTACGAGGAGGAATCCAGACATTTTTATCAAAGGGTCTGGAATGATTGATGACCGTTTGCCGATCAATGAGTTTAATGAGTTTCCCGATTCCCGTATCCCCACAGCTCAAGACAAGGCGGCAAAGAGAAAATGGTGACATCTTGGACATCAGTCAAAATGTAATCATTTCAATAAATTAAATTAAACAAAATAATAAACCAATTAAATTGAAGGCGAATCTCCCTCGACTCCTTCAAGACCCATCTCGAGAGCCTCCCTGCTCTTCGACCGTAGTTTCGATCACCCTGCTTCCACCCCAGTTCAGGTCCGAAACTCTATCTGTCCAGCGCCTCGGGACGTCCTCCCGACGTGAAAGAACGTGAATGAAATGTCACTTTGTTGTTGTTACGAACAAAGGAATCACAACCGGGTTTGCTTTGGAAAATGAAGCCGTGGGACGTTGCTGTGCGCAAACTGACTGCCAGATTTGCCGATAAAATACAGTGAATACTTTGAAACAACAACAACAACTTGCTTTTATATAGCACCCCTTCACACCGGGTAGCCTCCCAGAGTAGCTTAAATCCCGCGAAGCGCTTTGAGACACCTTCCGTGAGTTTGTGGGCGATAAATACATATTTTTTTCAATTTTACATTTGCTGAAACAACAACAAGATTACATTTGTAGAGCGCCTTTCACGTCGGGAGGACGTCCCAGGGCGCTGGACCCCCGTTTAAGATCCCAAATGCGCTGATGTTTTAACCTTATTGCCATTCGAAGGATGTGGATTACCTGCCCGAGCCCTCCTTGGTAACAGCCAAACACTTTCTATAAAATTAACTCATTTTGTGAAGAGCTTTGAAGCGTTTCGTGAAATGACGCCATTGTGATGATCGCGCAGCCAATTTTTTTTCCAGACTACACCTGGAGAAATGCCATGTGGATGCCTAAGGTGGATGTTGATAAGCTGTTTCCACTTTCTCGTGAGCCCAAAACGAAGCAGCGTAACTATCGGAGAGCCAGGGTCGGGTCTAAAGGGGAGTTTAACTTTCTCACACAGAGAGTGGTGAGAATGTGGAGCTTCCTGCCACAAAAACACCTCAGTGTATTTGAGAGAATACCCGACACGTACATGAAGGAAAAAGGAAGGGGGGACGGGGAATAGGAGAGGGCTTGAGGAGTATAAACACCCGCATGGACTAGTTGGGCTGAATGGCCTGTTTCTGAGCTCTATCACTCACTCTATGTAACTCTATGCAAGAGTTAAGGCATTAGCTACCCTTGTGCAAACAGGTTTAATAAGATCTGTGAAGATTTTCTGCTACATGCAGCCAGCCAGTGAGTGAGTGAGCGAGCGAGCTAACTCCTTCCTTTACGTTCATGCGTATTTGTAGTTTTCATATTCTAACCAACGATGCATCTGGAATGTGTCAGTCCTCTGTGTTCAAAGCCATTAATTAGGCCATCTGCATTGGACAGGAGAGCAGTTCATTACACTTCCTTTCCAATGTCAACAACAGGTCAAAACAATTATGCTTCAGTTAGAATCATCCAGTATACTGGGTGCAGGCGATTCGATTGAACAATCACATAT